TTTTTTTTTTTTTTTTCACTTACCCATCTCTCATATCTCAATATTCAGCGTAAATGGGTGGCTCAAAGGTGTATAGATTTCCATTATGGTGCATCGGGTGTACGCTTCCGCTCCCACTACCATCATAGTCATTTAATGCGCTCCCTTCACTCATAGTACTTTGTGAGATATCCTGCTGATCTGTCGCAAACTTCTCCACTTCCTCTTCCACTTCCACAGCCCCCTCAAGTTCCTCTTCGTCGTCCACTTCCTCTACACCCACAACTGCATCCTCTCTTAACACATAGGGACTCAAACTCACTAACCTCGCAGAAGGAGTACGTCCATCAATGTCAAACTCAAAGTTAAAACTTCTGACTCCACCTCCACCTCCACATATACTCCCACTCACACTTCCACATCGGCTCAACAAACAAACAGAACCTCTCGAATAGCTCCCCGGCTGTGAAATAAACGATGAGCTCCTTGACAACGAAGTTGAATTTACCAAAAGTGGTTGACGATCCCAAAGTTGCGAATGAAGTTCCATCAAAGGATGGTATGTCACAAAATCAGCACCATTGTGATTTGAGAATATATTTAACCCAGAGTCAGAACCTCGCGCAACAACACCAAATTCTTCACCTACTCCATTAGCATACTTTATCCTGGTTGAAGGTGGACCCAAGTTGATAAGTTCTGGTGTGGCTGGTTCCTGTTGACTATCTTCACGTGGCAGAAATGAATTATTTGTGAAGGGTGAGATTGGTACAAGATCGGCCAGTGAGCATCCAGCTTCATGTACAGCAAAAATTTCTGATGTGATTAACTTTTCTGGAGGTAGTGACAGTGGGAGGTCTTGTGTGAGGCCAATTTCAGTAGAGTCCAAATGCGATTCTGCATCATTAAAAGTGATTGTAAGAGAAGGCTTTATACCTTCGAGACTGGGTTGGGGAGTAACCTCTGCTATTGTGGTTATGGACTCGTTAAAAACTGGCAATGATCTCATACTATCTCTTCCACTCACCTCAGTGCTCTTCCTCTCACAGTATCCTCTTGAATCATGTCTTCCACCTTCACTCCTCGTTATACTTTGAATATCTTGTGACTTTTTAAAATTTCGAATTGAGGCTGCCTGAAATGAATCAACTTCCACAACTCCCTCTTCCTCCTCATCACTACACTCTGCTCCATCAGTGCCCATAATCGTGGTCAATCGAGGTGAACGTATCCCATCAACACCAATACTCCACTCAACAATCTCACTAAATGTAGAAGACTGTATCAAATCAAAACCACCGCCACCAACATCATCATCAATGTCATCCACAACACTTTTACTCATCAAGTCAACTTCAACCAACTCAGTTCCCAATACTTGGCGCCACTTGGAGACAATCAATCTAACAACAAACAAAATCAAACTTGCCATAAAAATAGTCGCAAACCCATACGACAAGGACTCGACTTCATCAGTGGCTAGTGGCATTATAGTCAGACACCCACGCCCACGCCCACGCCCACTCCAAGTTGCATACTTTGGTACAGAAACATTTGCTAGCTCAGAAAACTTCACAATTCCATGATCTCCATCAGCAATTTTAATCGGTGTAGTGTGGCGTGTTGACGACTCAATCAACGCTGTATGACCGCCGAAGTTATAGCCAATTTGTGGTGTAGACTTAGTAATCAACCTCGATGGGTGAAAGACGTATCTTTGAAGATGTTGTAGGACCAATATGATACTTGCTTGAATATACGCGGTAACAGAAGTCATTTTATACGAGATAATGTAGTATGTAAAGTGGTTTAATCGTAGTGTGCAACATCAGAATGGCAAAAACAAAAAAAAAAAAGAAAAAGGATCCAGTTACAGTTGATCTTGAATAAAAGTTGTCTATTATTTTGTTATGATCGAAGTAGATTTAAAAACTGGGTGTAAAAGCTGTCTTTTCTCTTGTTTGAATGTTAATGTATTGTGTATAATGTACAGTTGCGCTTTTTTTTTTTGTTTATCTTTTTTTTTTTTGTTTTTGCTGTCTTTGTGTAGCAGAGATTATGCACGTGCTTATCAGTCACGTGTATTGTCTATGTCGCAATTAATTTTGACAGAGTCGTAACATTGTATCCTGCGACAAACAATTATAAGAATCATCAATCATCGCCTTTTGGCAAGTGCATTGGATCTCGTGTAACCTCTCTTCATCAGATACAACATACTTGGCGAATCACCACTATACGATCTCATTTCGGCTTCATACAAGAAGTGAGCAGCACAATAATACGCTCCCCCTTCTCCTTACCCTTTCTCTTACCCACTTGCTTTATGCATAATTCAGTACTACCTCAATACCACATATTATTACTATACCCACACAAACACACAGGAGAAAACATTACTCCCCAGTTTTGGTCCAATCTTTAAATCGTTGAAATGACTAGTGCAACCAATCCAAGCCAACGTAGATCGTATTCCCGTCAGGGTTGCCGTGAATGCAAACGGCGTAAGATAAAATGCCCCGAAGAGAAACCAGCTTGTTCTACATGTGTACGGCTCGGCAAAACTTGTTCGTATCCATTAGCTGGTGAGAAGGTATTACGAATTTCACGGAGATTGATTCGAGAAGAGATTGAAAACTTGGGTAAATCTACCCATTTCCTACCCGTTCAATACGACGTACCTAAACGACATTTGCAACTGGAGAAAACTAAGAAGAACGGGGCAGGGCCGAGCACCTCTTCTCCATCGAATGGGGTTGGTTCTGGTTCCGGTAGTGATCATTTTACGTCGCCAACATCATCAGCCACACCATCCATTGGCAATAACAATGCAAACATGGTGAACTCTGCTCCTTCACAACCAAACGCATTCAGCATTGATTCACCCTCAGTAACGACTCCATTACCCACCACCCAGCCGCAGGAACCGCAGAGAAGATCGCTTTTAAACATTGAAAACCTTATAAACGACAACCACAATGAGGATCATTTGCATTTCCTCAACGGAACTGATTTAAACATGTTGACTAATGACTTATCCAACTTGGTCAATGAAATTATGGAGTTTCAAAACATCCCCTTCCAGCAGGATTTGCAATTGGATTTCTTTAATGATACACCTTTCAGCGCTTCGCCAGTAGAACAGTCAGTACAACACTCACCATCATCACAGCAACACCAATCACAGCAACACCAGCAACACCAACAACACCAACAGCACCAGAATTATCCACAGGATAACCACCAACAGCACTTTCTCGACGACGCGTATATCATGAATGTACCCGTTGACTACATAAAACTCAAACGGAAACATGAACTCTTGTACTTGGAACAATTTTACAACAATTTCGCCAACATTATTGAACCATTCAATGTCTACCATTCAAAGACCAAATCTACTTCTAACCCAGCCAGAGACGTCATTTTAAAAACTGCAAAAACAGAACCGTGTTTGCTAGCGGCAGTTCTTGCAGAAGGAGCTAAAACAAGTTATATGAAGTATGGACAACCGGAGGATGACAAGGCATACGGTGCATACTTGTCGAGATGTCTAAAACTACTTGAACCGGCCAAGAAAGTGACCAACTTGAATTCAAACATTGAAGGTGTGTTGTTGACTTTACTCCTACTTACAGCGGCAACTGCCACAAGTACACAGCAATGGCGTCCGCATCTAACTGGGTGCAAGGACCTCCTTCTCAAGATCTCAACCAGTAACTACATGGCCAACGTCTCCAAAGTATTTGTGTTTTGTAAGTATTGGTTCATGTCAATTGAAATCTTGGCTGGGCTAAGTACAAGTATTGGAGGTACTTTGAAAACAGATTATGAGATTGACCATTTGATGTCGTCGGGGTCAGAGTATGAAATTGGAATTCTTTGTGAATTGGGCGTGATTACTGAACAAGGATTCAATAATCTTATGGGATTTCACAACACTTGTATAACATGTTTCCGAGATTTGTTCAAGCTACTTAACCAATACCGACGAAGTCAGTCTGCTGTTGCTGATAATGACACTACTCCCACCGCTACCAATACCAATACCTCTCCAGGTATGCCTCCTCCCTTAGTGATAGACTCGCTACAGAATATGAGAATCTTGTCTGATTTTTACCAACAAACAACAATCGTTTATATCGACTCCAAAGGAATAATCCCCGAATCAGAACTACACAAGTACACACCGGGGCTACCCATTGAGGAAATCCGAGTTGGCGAATCGAGCTTTTGGCTAAGTTGGCAAGACATCTCGCATCAAGCATTTGTCTTGTCCTCAATCATCCTAATCTTGACCCGTTTCTACCACTTGCCGCCAACAAACCCCAACGTGTCCCAACTAGTTGATAAAATCGTTTCATTCATAACGTACCTTGATAATTTCTCCGATGTGCAGCAGCACGCATCGCCGTTTTTGTTGTTGATGATTCAGTGGCCATTGTTGATTACTGGGTTGCAAGCGGTGCGTGAGGACCAACAGAAGCTTTTGTTGAAGTATTTTGCCATGGTGAGGCAGATTGGCGCTGCTACTGCCGATGTGTCGGCAGGTATCTTGAAGAAACAATGGAAGGGGACATCGACGTATGAGGAGGTGGGTGACACTTTGATATACTAGAAAATATCTACACTTATGGATATAGAAACATTTGTAACATTTATAAATATACACAGACATATTCAGCGCTATGCTTTCATTCACTTTTCGACTCTTTTCTTCTCTCCACTCCGCTTCACCTCTCTTCTCTTCCACTGCTCTTCTACCAATCACCTGGCACAAGTGGTTCTCTAGCAACTGGAATATTTCTCTGGTACTTGGTTCCACCAGGCCTACAAGGAGGAATATAAGGATCAGGATGCTTCCATTCCTTCAACTTAGCCTCAGTAACCTTAATCAATCGCTCCAACTCTTCCACATTGTTTACATGTTTATTGGCTTCAAATTGAGAACGAATATTTATCGTTTGTGCACGATACAAGTCGAATTTTAACGAGTGGTCGAACGCAGTACGCAATGCTTGCCTGAATAAGGAGGATACCCTTTTGGTGTTTGCCTCTGTGAATGGTAATATTTGTGACATGATGGTACGGTGTAAATGGTGAATGGATCAGCTCTAGTCAAGGCTTTCCCACTTACAATTTTTCTGTGTGTTACAGAGAGAGAGAAAGAGAGAGGAGAGAAAAAATTTCAATTGGTCAACACAAATTGGTAGCACTGCAACACACTACAGCACAGAGTTTTTACCACAGTCTATTCAAACATCCTTTTCTATACACACATTTACACTACCCAGCTCACTTTCAAACTGTTGTATGGATATACTACCCATCTCAATCTTGAGCTTCTCATGTTCCCCCTCTCCCCTCTCCTCTCCCCCCAAACTCCTTCTCTTTATTTTGTCAATTTGCCCGCTTTTTGTTTTGTATTGCCACCAGTTCCACTAATCTTCCTTCCATCAGTAAACTTGCCACTACCACCAACGGCCGCATTGGCATTACCGCTGACACCTTTGACCTTATCTTTGCCACCTTCCTTATCACCAAACTTCTTCTTGTGGCCACCATTATTATGGAAATTATTTCCAGTCTTCAGTTCTCTAGGTTCCAAATTGATAACTACTCCATCTAAAGTAGTCTCCTTTGCATCCAATGCTTTTCTCTGGGCTTCTTTCAAGACGAAATCACACAAGGCAATGTTTTGACTGGTGCGGAAAAATTTCAATTCACCAAATTTCTTGGTGATGTGATCTCTCAAGACTTTTTCATCAATTGAACGGATACCGCGAATATAGATTGGATACCATTCATCCTTTTTGAATTTGCCACTGCCCGCTCCACTTGCTCCAGATGATGATTGTTGGGGTGGTGTAGCTACTGGGGTCTTCTTGGTGGAAGTTGGGGTGGATGTGGCTGTACTGGTTGATGTTGTTGGTTTCGATGCAGGTTTTGATGCAGGGACAGCTTGGTAGGCCAAGTCGGCCCATGTCATCGGTTGAGGTGGGCTCTTGGGTTTGGCGGTTTCTTCTGGTTTCTTCTCTTTCTTTGGTGATTCTTGTTGTGGTTGTTGCTCTTGTGGTTGTTGTTGCTGTTCATTTTCGTCTTCCTTTGCTGGTGGTTCTGGGGTCTCTACCTTTTTTGGCTCCGCTTTCTCGACAACTGTTTCCTCCTTCTCTGGTCCACTTACTTCTTCATTCTTCACCTCTACTGGTGCTTGTTGCTCTTTTTCCTCCTTCTTGTCAACAACTTTCTTCTCAATTGATTCTGGGGTTGGCTCTTCAACAGCAGATTTCACTCCTGCATCGACACCGTCCCTCTCACCATCCTCTTGCTCCTCCTTCTTCGCTTGTTGCTTATATCCGTTATTTTCAACAAACTTCAAAATATCATTAGCCAAATCATAAGTGCTCTCTCTTTTACCAGGAGTCAAGACAAATGTTTGAGTAAATTGCTTAAATGGTGAGTCATTCTTAGACCATTCGCCAAAAGTGACAATAATGATATTCTTCTCCAACGAAACTTGGAAAGTGGCACTAGTAATGACAATTCTGTTATTGTCATTACCACCTCCCGACAAATGTTCAGCAAAACACTTCTTGATAGCGTCAGTGCCTTTAGCTTTATAGCTAGCGGTCAACTCGCCCTCCCCGCCGTTTTTCTTGTCGTCTTTAGGAAATGCATCGTGCAAAATTGAAGCATTGTCATGGTAAATCTTGTGAATGACGTCCAATTTGGCAATGTAGAAATCGTAATACGACTTGATGAAATACCACCCAATGTTTGAAACTCTTTCGTCACTCAACGCTTGTTCTCCGTTGGCAGCAGGAGCAGGAGCAGGAGCAGTTGATGGAGTTTGTTTACGTTCTTCTTGTGCTGGAGTTGGTGATGTAGTCATGGTTTGCAATATGTGAAAGGAACGACAGGATTGATGATGATGCTAAAGAATCAGGTAACTGAATGGTGAATACAAAGAAAACCAAATAAAAGAATGATGCAACAACAACAAAAAAACAAAAAAACAAAAAAAGAAATGTAGATTGGGTCTGATGTGTTTTAGCTGGGTAATGTTAAATGATTGGTATAGATATCAATCAAGTGTCTAATGTACAGATTAAATGAGCTATGCTGTTGGTGGTTTCCTGTTCAAAGGTGTGTGTGTGTATGTGTGTGTGTGTGTGATCTCTCGCGATCAAAATCAAATTTTTCATTACGCGCTACCAATAGCGGTTTCTATGTTTTATGCAGGACTCCCAAGCTTGGAAGATATAGAGGATAGAAGGATACCAACAGCTCTTACTTGCGTTGAGCTTGGTACTGGTGCTGGTCAGTTACGGCCAAATCTACACTAGGTACACACCCATTTCTGGAAAATGCTGTTTGAACTATGTATAGGATCTTCCTCTCCACACCGCACTTCCTTTCCTCTATTGGCACTCTCTCAACAACTCCTCCAAAATCTTATTCTCCAAATCACCCTTATTACTAACCCCGTTGAAACTCTTGATACCCATTCTTCTCAAGACCTCAATGGTTTTATCTCTAGGGAATCCCATATTTTCAAACTGAGTCACGATCGAATCATCAATCCCGTACAACGCCGAATCCTTCACTTCAACAGCACCCCCGCCTTTTCCCAGCTCACTTTCGGACTTCCCATCATTTGCATACAACTTTGTCCAGTAAGCAGCGGTCTCCTCAAACCCAGCCTTATTACTCAAATAATGCTTGGCAACTTCGGCATCCTGTGGGTCATTAGGCTCTGGTGATTGCAACAAGAGTTGCAACGAAATCAAAGTCGACTTCAATGTCAAGACTGGTGTCCATTTATCCTTCAAGATATTAAGACATATAGCACCGGTGACTGAGGAAATGTTGGGGTGATAAATTTTGGTGGTGAACTTCATTTGTGGTGGCTTGAAGGGGTACTCGTTGGGGATATCTATAGCCACTTGGAATAGTCCTCCTTGGTATGGTGTTCCTGGTGGACCGGCAAAGTATCCTGTTAAATGAGTTAAGTCAGCATCGTTGTTGAGCTCAAGAGTGACACCCGATTGTTTGTCTTGACGACACTCTTCTAATTCTTTTGCGATTCTCTTGACTCTAGACATTTCGATGGAAGGAGCTTGTGGTTATGTGGTTAGTGAGGTATAGAAATGTGATCTGTAGTGTTGCAGTGTATAGATTGCTAGTTGTTGGTTGTGATCAATTTTCATTCGGCGATTTTTTGCCGTTGATTTTTCTTTTCCGCTGTCACCACACTGCACACACTCAAACATCAACCAACCCATCTACATCAACTTCAAGCAGACTATAATTAATCATTACATTCGTACAAAGTATATACATAATACAGTGGTTCCTCCCCCCGCCCATTCCCCTCGTCTCTATAAAACAAAACATCCACTCTCCATCTCTTTTTTTTTTTTCTCTATCAACTTTATCCCTTAACATTCGTAGACAAGGTATCAAATATAGTCTTGATCTCCTCAATCGAATTCTTAACAAATGGCAACTCAAACAATCCATAACTCTCATTCTTGACCAATTCCGTGAACAAGATAGTCAATCCCCATGGATGTGGCTTATTGACAATCCTTCTCTCCAACAACACTCTTGTAATGATTTCTTGCACTGCCAATTTGGTACTTGTCGACGAATTCCAAATCGAATTTGAACTAAAGAAATGAAGAATGATACCAATAAACCAGTGAGTATGACTGTTGGGGTACCTCAATTGATTGGCAATGCTGCTCAACATGATATATTTGAACTCATTCGATCCAAAATTCATCAAATCAACGAGTAATGAAACTTGCGATGTCTTGGTATTGAATCCACGATTGGCTGGACTCTTTTCAGCAACTGCATTCATCCCCACATGTAACACCAAAGCATTGATTAACTTAGTATTAAATGTAATGGTTTCAGTGTATCCAAACTCATCAGTAATCTTTGGCTGGTTTAATTTGAGTCCGTTGTAGATTGTTCTCATTAATCCAGGTGCAGGTATACGCAAAAAGTTCTCCACTGGCTTCTTTAACCCAACTTTTGCCAAATCTTCAATCGGCTTGTAGTAAACAGCTGGGGCATCATTGATCTCTGGCAATCGTTCAACTTTCAACCCTTGAGTAAATGGATCTGGCACAGTTATATCTTTCGGTGTTGCAGACAACACGATATTTCTCAACTGAATGTATCCCCTTGGAATAGCAGTAACCAACTGGTAGTGACATTCAACCAAGAATTCTGGATAATCATGAATCAATCCAACAAAAATTCGATTGATGCCTTTGAAAACGACATTCAAAACATCACGATTGCTATCCTTGTTTTGATACGTTTGTTGAAATTTCAATAACGAAGTCAACAATTTGACACCGATACCATAACCAGCTCTTTCAGGTAACTCAAGAATCTGTGGCAAAAACATACGATGACTGATTAATGAAATCCAACTAAATGTAAAGCCAGGTAACACAATAGGCTGAAGCGAATTGAAAACTTCACCCAAAAATGAATAAAACTCAACATCAAGTTTTGTGGTTGCATTTGCATCCAACACTGATGCATCATTCCAAGCAGACAACAATGACGAGAAAAATCTGAAATATGGACGATCATTCCAAGCTAATTTGTTCTCATGGTCAGTGACCAAGTTCAAAACAATCACAGCGATAATCTTTCTCAAATAGAGAGCAGCTTGTCCTTCTTCTTCAACACTCAATACTATCCTCACAACTAAAACTGCCAAACAATCAATCGACAAATACGCTTCATGTTGAGTTCTACTCCGAAGTTCTTGCTCAGTAGTGAAAACAAGTGTCGAAATATCAATAGCGGCCTTCCAAAAAGTCTTGAATTGATCAGCATTGCTCAATATTCCCAGTTTGGCCAATCCTGCAACAAACTGTTCTTGAGTCACTCGAGTATCTTGATCACCATGAGTTAACAACCTTACCCATTCAGTGAAAACATAACCCATTTGCGCATACAATTCAGACGTTGCAGGTTTCGATGTATTCAACACTTCAAACAATTTGTCAACCTCAACTTGAGCTTGCTTATCCTCCTCACTGGATAATGGCAACTTCTTGTATTCATGCAACGCATCCAAAGTCTTTGCAAACTCCGACCTCAATGCAATTGGACGTACCGATTCCTCCGCAGTGAACACATTCAACAACAAACTAGCACCAAATTTGACAATTGCAGGACTGTGCGACTCCTTGATCAATTTACTAATTGAGTCATCAAGCTTTATAGGCTGAATCAATTGCACCTTCAACAACGATAAAATAACCGGCATGTTAAACTTCCGTTCATCAGGTGAGTTCACCAACCACCAAATCACATCCTTAGCAGTCGATGGGGAAAACTCACACAATTTGTCAAGAACAACAACATATATTTCGTTACTCATTGGATTGTTGTGCACTTGTGTAAACAAGCAATTGACGGTATACTGAGCCGCCCTAAGCAATAAATCGGGATATTTCAATGCATTGCTCTGAGCAATCGCTAAAGCTTGGGTTAAGGTTGTTTTGATGGGATGGTTCGGTGGTAAGTCGGATAACTTGCTTTGAGATACTTCAGACACCAACTGTATAGCTTTTTCACATAATCGAGTAATGGCAGTGAACAATTGTTCCAGAGAAATGACATCCTCTTGGACAAGAGAACTTGGTTGTTGTGCTGGGAAATCTTGACCAAGTTGTGGTTGTTGCTGTCTCTGTTGCTGTTGTTGCTGTTGTTGCTGTTGTTGCTGTTGCTGCTGTTGTTGTGCAAGTTGTTGTGGTTGTGGTTGAGGATGTGCAAGAGTAGCTGGAGCCCCTGTTGGGGTTAATCCAGCAGCACGGAGACCATCAAGCAGTTCATTTCTCACTTCGCCAAAGTGCTCATAGATACTCAACTGTTGCAAGCTCAACCCCTTTCTATTCAACCCCAACGGTTCTGGTAATCTCAACGAATATTCAGGTGTTCCTTCCTCAACATACAATTCGTCACCAGCATGACGTTCGCGATTCATAAGGTACGGTTTCATTCTTTCATCAATCAACTCAATCACCTTATTTGAAACTAGTTGAGAAACAATGTCAACACAAAGCCCCACGTTGGATTGAATGGCATTGGTTAGTTCCATTAGTGACAATTCGTGGTTCATGTTGGAAAGGAAATGCATCATTGCGACTTGAATAGTATCATAAAGCATCTTCTTCCCCGAGCATAAAACCATGCTATATGTCAACTGCTGTGCCATTCTATGATATGACCTTCTGATCTTGCCAACATCCTTTTCGGTGGCGAAATCCTTCTTGATCAAGAACTCGGTTGTCACCAAGATAGGCTCCGAAACCCTGCTCATAATCGGCTCGGTACATTCACGAACTGCTCGAGTCAAGGAGGCTTGGAGAGCTCTTCTCAGGTTTGCATTCTGGGTAACATTACCACTACCAACAAGATTGCTAAAGTTTGTCTCCGACCCCGATTCCAGCTGCCCTTGTTGCGGGTATCCTTGCACTGATCCAAGTTGTGGTTGCTGCTGTTGAGGCAAAATCTGTTGCCCAGGAGCAAGGCCTTGCTGGAACGGTTTATCAAATGAAGGCAACTGCACGACATTATTGAAATTGGCAGCTGCTTGTGGTTGTTCCAAATTCATCTGCGACATGTCCAACGAAAGACTCTCGCCAGCTGATTGAGGCAAGAGTCCGAATTTAGCTGCCAATCTGTTTGGGTCCTTGTCATGCTTTCTGATCAACTCGCTTGGTTCAAGATCTTCAACCTTCATGTCAAACAATTTCAACAAAACTTCCACTTCAAACTTAAGTTGCAACACCAAATCGGCAAATTGGTACAATTCAGATAGCACTTGGAAAATACCCAATACCCAAGGATTAGGCGGCTTGAACACCCTGGAGTTGACAGTTTGAGCCATGATTTTACAAACAAATGGAAGGATCAAACTTAATGAATCGAAATCGTATGCCTCAACAAGCAAAAATTTAACTGCAATCAAGTCCCTTCTCAATGGTTTGTCCTCGGCCAATGTGATCCTTCCCAACCAGGCACCAAGATTCTTAAGTTTGTTACGATCAGTTCGTGAATCTTTTGAGTTTCGAATCAAATGATACACCTCCTTCATGGTAATGTTCATAATGTACTCTTTGAAAACGGCATCATCCAAGGCCTTCACTAGACTCGAATACAACTCATGATTATTCGGTTCAGCCTTGGCTCGATCGGCAACTAAATAATCAGCAAACCACGCAAAATATCCCTCCCTCAAAACTTCGCGTATTTCCGTTAGACGTAAATTTTCCGAAGTCATGTTATTGACAGAAAAGAGCAACTTGTCCCTAATTTCCTCTGGTGGATCTTGCTGTTTGGCAGAGCCGATAGTTTGCTCAACGAAATTGATAGATTGATACCTTGGTCCAACATCTGGGGTAGTGCTGGTGGGCGTATTTCCGCTCCTGGGCGCAGTAGAACAAGGAATACCATTGGAAGCATCTTTAACAATTTGGTACATTTTGCCATGGGACGATAAAGAACGACATTCCAATAAATGTTTGCAGTAAATTGGGTATTCATGCAACTTCGATTTGAAATTGTACAATGCTTGAACTGCAAATTTAAACATATTCGACTCGGATGAGCTGTTGCATGCTTCCCAAATGAAATTCAAAGCCACAGTCAACGCTGTACCTTCTAACAAATTGTTTTCCAAAACCACTCCGAAAAACAACGACGTCGACGCTAATGCATTTAGTGGGTAGTCGCCAAAAAATCTATACTCGTCCAATAACGAATGGATGATGCATGCAAACACGTCTTGTTGATGAGGATCGTCGCTGGCCTTCATTGCGATCAAAAGGTTGATCATTTTGGAAATATCGAGGGTTTTATTGTACAATTTTGAGTAGTAATCTTTCATTTCCAACTCAACAGATGGAGGGAAAAAACTCGATTTCGCTTCATTGGCAAGAAGGACATCGTCGTGACCATGACCAAAATTGATCAACCTTGGATAAGTTGTCAACAACAGAACCTGCAAATCTTGCAACTTTCCTAAATCAACCAATCCATTGCTGCTTTTCAACTTTTCAAGCAAATAATAAACAGTTTCAAGCTTCAACAATGGCAAATGTGGAGATGGCGTTGGCAAGGGAAGTTGCTGTTGCTGTTGCTGTTGCTGTTGCTGTTGCTGTTGCTGTTGCTGTTGCTGTTGCTCATTGTGTTGTTGAAGAGTTTCGGCATCATATTTTACTCTATCTGCAAGCGCGTCCGCAAGCGACAGGTAAAGCGAGCTCCTCAATTGATGATCATTTAACTTAGATTCAAGTTCCTTTCTGTAATCGTAATTGAAAAACGTTGACTCAATGAGTAACGTGACAGCCAACCTGACATTTGTGCTCCACAATTGATGCATTACTTGATCCAAGATGTTCAACTTCAAACATACAGCAACAACTTTTTGTGCAGGTAAGATAGTTTTGCCTATAGCAGCAGCAACTTTTTCATTGTTATTGACAATCTTCTCTGCGGCAGTCTTTTCAGCAGCAGCAAATGTGTATCTGTTTTTGAAGTAATCAATAGCCTTGCCTACAACAAGTCCCAACTCCTGCAATGTGCGCATCACCTTGGGCAATGCGGGTGAATCACTATCCATCAACAAGTAAATCAGAGTATCAATCAAATCATTAATAAATGGTGTTTTTTCAATAACGGATAAAGATGCCGCCAACACATACTCGGGATATATCCTGTAATCGCGGTCAAACATTTGATTTAAATATGCATTCAACTCACGGTCATGGTCACTCAAATTCTGCTGTATCTGTTGCGACTGTACTTTGGTAATGACTTGCAACTCCAATTTACCTACATTGATGAATTTCAAAATATTGCGTCCCAAATGGGATGGTAGACCAAGACCATCACGATCCTCCTCAAAACACAACAGTAAATTTGTTGACAAGGCAATGTCATAACCGCCTTGAGATGCATCACTAGTCTGTAAAATGTACAATAACGTCTTATCAAACCACCACTCGTAATTGAGGAAAATATCAATTGGATCTTGTTTGAAATCCAATGATGATAGAAATTGTGATACACTGGCTGGAGAAGGTTGAGCATTTCTTTGACTTGATTCAAATAAAAATCGTTGCATATAGTTGAAAACTTCGTACCAGTTGACTTGCAAGTTTTCCAGTTGTTCAATTGATTTGAAGCAAGACTGCAATTGAGCTCCTTTGGCATTTGATTCGGGTAAACTGAGTGGTGGTGCAGTGTACTTGAACCCCTGCGATCCAGGTATTAGAATCTCAGCCAAGACCAATGCTATCCCTTGGTCCACTTCCTGTGGCTTTATTTGCAAGAGACTAGTAAGTAACTTTTCCGGTACGATATTTTCAAATCCAACTTCTTGTAACAAGCTTTTAAATGACATTTTCAATATATTTTGATAAAATCTTGTGATTGGTGGAAGATCTGAATCAAACGCCTTGATGGAACTTAAAATGATTAGTTTGCTTAAGAATGGGAAGTATGAAGTGTTAAGAATGTGTTCGAGTAGTAGTGACCAATGGTATCCTTTTGGAAAATCTCTCGTTTTAAAAAGGGTTAGTAATGACGATGGAGCCTTTTCGAAATATGCTTTAATTTGTTGTTGGTCTCCTTTATTGTGGTATCTAACTGTCAATAAATAAGTTAGAATTGGATCACAATTAAACTTGGTGGTGAAGTTGACAATACTGAAATCCTCTGGTATAATGCTATCCAAATGAATGCAGAATAAATCGTAGAAAGATAGCTCGGTAGCAATAAAGTCTAGCTCCTTGGCAAATATCGATTCAATAGGGGATAATGCAGAATGTGTGTTTTTGAAATCGCTAAATCTAATAAACCCAAATAACTTTTCAAAGTAATTGTTCAAGACAATTAGATCTGTAGATATTTTCTTGTGAATAAAACGAATCTGTTTGTAATGGGAGTCAACTGAAGATGAATCAACGGTGGTTAATAAAATGCTCAACTGGTTGATTAATACCTTGTCCAATTCAGGATCCTTAATTTTAATACCGTCTACGTAGGAACTCGCTTTCTGGTCTTTATCGCTCAGTAGTTGTTGTTGTTGCTGTTGTTGCTGTTGTTGCTGTTGTTGTTTTGGGTTAGCTTTGGTCACAGTGCCCTTGGGGCCGTCACTAGATGTTGATGCTTTAGAAGACACGATTTGAAATGTATAGCAAAGACCCACAGATGTTTCTCTTGACTAGAAAGATTTATTCAATGATAGAAAGGAGCTCCAGGTAGGCAGGACAAGCTAAAGGAGAACGTTCTATCAAAAAAAAAAAAAAAAAAAAAACAAAGAAAAATTGATTCGATTGGGGTGTGAGTTGTGTAATATTTGATTAGATCAATTGAGTGTACTTCCGTAGCTGGTGAGAGTGATGATCTATCTGTCCTGAAAAAGGGCTGTGTTAAGTGTTCAATGTATGTCTTGTGTTGCCACACTGAGTTGTTGGATGAGAATTTTTTTTTTTTTTTCTTCTTCTTTTCCTATTCATTTTCTACAAAAGTACACGCCCTTATAGAAAAGTTACCCGGATATAGAAAGAGAACTAACATTTCAATTACACATATTCATATCTACAATATCCAAAATTGTCTGTTTTGATCTCACCAAAAGTCATCTTCATCCCAGTTCTCTTGTCGTCTATCATTACTGCTCTTTTCAAGTTCATCCTTGTTGAATAAATCAGCATATGGATCAGCATTTGTCTGCTTTTGTTGAGCATATTGCATACTCAATTCCTTCTCTCTAGCTTCGGCCAATTTCCTCTGCTTCGCTATATCTCTCACTAGCTCCTCTTGTGATTTGATAAACTCCGCAGTTGAAGTCTCTGTCTTGGTTTTGGCCAATTTGTTAATTATTGCATTCTCTCGCTTAGCAACCTTGACACGTTTCACAAGTTTGGGGTTTCTGAATGTTACAGTTCCGGTGTCCATTGATCCATCCGTATGTAAATTTTCAACAGGGGTGTATATGATGGTGATGTTGTTTAATTTGTTGGCTTTGATCGAATTGGCTTTGGTGAGTTGGGCAAGTTGTGTTAACAAGTCTTCTTCAATGGTGAACTCGCCAAATGATTTCCAATTCATTACTTGTGATTGAGTAAGCTGTAGGTAAAGATGGGCAGATGAGTGGTTGTCGACATGAAACCAGATGTTTTTAGGGTGAGAGTGTTTGATTAATGGATCATTTTCAAACTTATCTTTACCCATGTAGATTGTGTATGGTGTACAGTCGGTGGTGGCAATCATATCCAGTAAGACATCACCATCATCACCATTCTTTGTTTGTGCTGTAAAATAGTACACCATTGTTGGACAGAGTTTAGAACCGAGTTTAGGTCACCCCACCCAGTAAAGGTCCTCCTCTCTCATCTCAGTCGTGTATGTACTGCAAAATCTTTTTCGTGGGGAAGCTACCATGTCACGTGATGAATTAGACACGTATATGAGAGAAAAGGAATTGGTACATTCAATGCGCTTATGTCCATCAGCATTATGTGTTTCTATATTCAATTACATGTACTAGTGTAGACCATATGTAGGTGTGTTGCTGAATAGGAAGTTTGAGCCCACTAGTTGATTTGCACTTTGTTGAAAAAATGCTGGCAATAATTTCCTTTTTTGTCACTGCCAGCCAGACTATACAATCCCAAGTCATCTAGCGAATTGTTAGCTTCTACTCAATCTCGTATCCAGAGAGGAGGGCTGAGTCAGTGAATACCAATCAAAGAAAAACCTCTTATCTAAAGTCACCAAAACACGATTGAAGTATTGTCACGTGAAAATCATACATTAAAAAGTCGTAGTTCGTGCTGCTCCTCCCCCCCTCTTTCATCTTCGAAATTTACAATTACAAGGGTATCTCCCCTTCCTTTGAGTCACCCAGTTTGGTGTCTTTATAGAAAAGGAAGGGAATCTACTGGTGTCGAGTGTTGTTGGTTATCCATACTCTGGTGAAACTTTTGTACACGAGAAGAAGTCACACAAACACTCTCGGCGAAAGGGGAAGTAAACAAAAGAAGAGAAGAAGAAGCTTAGTAAACTCTTGTATATGGGTTAAACGCCAGAAAGGAAAAAAAAAAAAAAAGAAAAAAATGGAATACTTACACAAAAATACGCTTCTCGAGAGAGAAAATTACTCGATTGAGTTAACAAACCAAATAATGTCAAATAGCAAGATATAAGGCTAGCTCCTTCTTCCCCATACCATTCATTCATATCCCAAAGAAGAAGGATAAGGAAAGCTTAACAGAACCAACTATCATTCATTCATTCAATTACGTTTAACACACTCACCCATTCATTCATTCATTCATTCACTAATCAGTCCATACATTCATTTGCACACCCAAAAAACTAAATTCACGTCCGTGTCATAAATAACAACAACCACATTCACCACAAACTCGTCTCTCTACATCCAGTAACAATGATTGACTTCGAATCACTACTCGAATTCGAAGAGTCCTTAAGTGAAGGACAGCCAAGTCTCGACCATTCGGCAATCTTGCACAATTTCGAAGCCAAGATTGACCATTTGCGATTCAAGGAAGAACAAGCAGAAGAAGAGGAAGAAAGTGAAGAGTGTGACAGTTCAGCTTCGTCTACAAGTGGTTCACTTTTCTCAGGGGGTGCTCCATTATCCTTGAATGAAATAATTGAATCGTACGATATTAGCCAAGATGAGTTTGCAACTTGTGATAAATGTGGAGCCAGCTTATTCTCCTCATCAAAACCATCAGAACCATCAGAACCATCAATTCTATCCCCACAACCTGACACTCCCCCCACAAAACCATCCTGCTGTCAATCAACAATTACGCGCACCACCACCATTTCATCCAACTTGGAATCCCTCTACTGGACAAGCTTCATCGACAACCCCACCAGAACCGTAAACACCCTCCCACACTACACCGAGCTCGTTTTGAAGCAAGGCATACCAAACTGCATTCGATCCCATATCTGGCGCCAGATTTTCTTACTCTGCCACACAAAAGTACCCAAATCCATCAGCCTTGTCTTTAACAATTTCCAACACTCGTATAGTGTCGAAGTGTCGCAACAGATATCGAAAGATTTGACGCGGACGTTCCCGCAAATTGGGTTTTTCCAACAAGGTACAACGAGTAATGAGTTGTCTACGATTTTGAATGTGTATGCTAATTACGATTTGGAGTTGGGGTACTGCCAGGGGTTATTGTTTCTCGTTGGTGTATTATATCATCATTTGCAATGTTCCAAATTGACATTTTATGCATTGACGACAATCATGGAGACTGAGCTGGAACTACACGATATATTCACAGCAAGACACATGTCGAGCACTTTACTGCTCTGGTTTCATCAATTTAGCCTCATTTTGCAAACTGTGGATCACCAATTGTACACGCATTTGATACTGGAGTGTCAAGTGGACATGCGGACATTCCTCTATCAGTGGTGGCTATCTTTCATGTCGTCACACACTGCCAACTTATCTGTCATTAATCGGGTGATGGATTTTTGTCAATTTCAAGGATGGAAAGTGGGTATGATGAAGATTAGTTTGGGGTTGTTGATTGTGAATAAACCCATTTTGATGACGTTGGAATTGGGAGATGAGGAAGTTGTGTATCAGCACTTGCTTAATGAAACAAAATGGGGCACCGTTGCTAATGATTTGGATTTGTTCTTTGGTGACTTGTTGTTTACATGGCGGGATGAATTGTTTGTAAGACCTTCTACAACGGTGCCATTGAAGCAACAGCAACAGCAACAGCAACAGCAACAGCAACAGCAACAATCGTTGCAAGATACAGAATTGAACTTTACTTCCTCGTCTTTGCCAGTCGCTACAACGCCAGCATCGTCTTTGCTCAACACATTCAAGTCACTTTCCTTAAACATGAGACTGAAATCACCACTGAAGGTTCAATCCAGCAGTACTCCTAGGTCGCCATATACTGGATTCACCCGCGACCGATCAAACACCGCTTCATCCAACAACTCTGCACTCAACAATTCAACAATCACATCCACAACATCCATCTTTTCCACCTTATCTGCATCTGGTGCAACTAGCTCCACACACAGTGGCATCCATCATCATCATCATCATCATCAGCATCATCACCACCACGTAGTTTCCAGCAACAAGAATGCTGAATTAGACTCGATCTATTCCGACATTAGTGAGGTCAGTAGCCAGCACAGTGGCAATGACGTCAAGTCATTTGCTGACTACTTGAAGTTGCCCTCCTTTGGGTCAGGATCAAGTGGCAATAACAAACAGACTGAGTTTGCTACTGGCAACTTAAGCAAGAGCAGCTCCCATAGTCAAAGTCAAGAATCGTTGTTGATGAATGAGAATGAAGCGTTGAAATATCTACTTAAGCAAGCATATGATAAGTTGGGTGACTCAAGTGTCTCTAATGAAGAGGTTGAGCATTTGAAACTGCAAATTGAGGAAATGGTGATGTAAAGGGAAATTGGAGGAGGAGGTGTATAGGGTTATATAGGGCACAAGCACAGGTATAATGGTAACATATTTATTAGAAGAAGATGCTTAGTGTAAAGGCCGTAGTAACATGGACAATGGAGGATCCGAAATCGAAGGGGAAAGCTGGCACAGTCATTGTTTGACCTCTCTAAAACACAGCAGTCCTTCAAGTGAGCATATTCAAGAGTCTCCTTCCTCCTTCCCTTTCTACAAGCTTACTACAGAATCAACAGTTACTCACCCGAGCACCTATGACATTGAGTTGATAAATATATTTAAAAAATGCATTATGTTATAAACATTCAATACATATAAACTGTCAATACATATAAACTGTCAATAAATATAAACTGTCAATACATATAAACTGTCAATGACTTTTTACCTTCAAACACTCTTCTCACCATTCCCTGTCCCCCTCTCTCTCTTTTCCTCTTCCTCTTCCTCTTCCTCTTCCTCTTCCTCTTCCTCTTCCTCTTCCTCTTCCTCTTCCTCTTCCTTCTCCTTAAGCATCCAAATTGACAGGAAACTTACCAGCAGCTCTTTGATCATCCCACTTCTCAACCCAGTCCAAGGGGCACAAACTAGTAAAAGTCTTGAAGAACAATTGACAAGGTTCAAAGTCTTCACCTTTTACATTGACGCATTTGTGATAGTCAACGTAGGATTGAGCACAGTGTTTAGATTGGTTTTGGGTAGGGAATCTTGGGTCGAATTGTGGAGTTTCGAACTTAAAAGTGGCTGGATCGATAGGCATTGTTGTGGTGGCAAAATAATGTGTGTGTGTGTTGATGGAATTCAGTATCTCTTTACAGATGTGTGAAAATAAATTTTCCTCTCTGATCAAGTGGATTGGATTAGATTGAGTAACTGATTGGTTGTTGTTAAAGAAAGAGAGAAAAAGAAAAAAAAAAAAAAAAAAAAAAAAACATACGACTGAAATTGGTAGCATACACTTCCATCTATGTCACAACACTCTATACTACGACATTATGCACATATTACACGACATTCAGTCCAGCTTTTTGTATGGTCCAATCACTATCCAAATGGGGAAGAAGATCCTTATCGCTTAATAGAACATACATCACAGGGATTTCGTACACCTTGTCACCACGTACTTCATGTTGGATTTCTTTCTCTTCTTGTGTCAATGCAATCTTCTCATTCGCTTCGACTGCTGCCCTCAGTGTCTTCCTTCTCTTATTCGTAGTCCTGTCTTCATCTTCTTCCTCTTGTTTCTCGATTTCCTTGCGGGGCCTTTCACTAGTATCTTCCAAATCCTTACTAAAATCAACAACTTCAACACCATGTTTATTCGGTTGTTTCTGATACGGATTGATCTTTGTTCTTACACTTAATAGACAATTATACTGATGCAACATGGATCCTCCCTCTTTCTTCTTTTGCTTAACTATTTCCACTATCGATACAAGCTTCTGTACATCTCGAGCTACACCATAACTTAGTACAGCCGTGTTTTCATCCCCAAGTATGGTCAACATCTTTTTAATTTGTGCTTTCATGGAGTCATTTTTACCTATTTTTAGTGGTTCAATCGATGCTAGCGACGACTTGCATTGGATGGATGGTATTATTGAGGATGTGAATGCGGAGACTTCTTCCGCTAGTGTGGCTGTAGACATGTCGACAAAGTGAGAATAAACGTGAGAAAACAACGTGTAGAAGGTAACTGTTTGTACAGTTTGATCAATTTCCAAAACATCGCGAAAGTGACTTTTTCTTCTACACATCAAACCTTTCACTATGGAAGAAAGCCAGCAGGCCGATGCAGCTCATAGAGGACAAAGAAAAAACTTCACTACGTCACAATTACCACTGTCACAAGAACATTAATGTATAAAAACATACAGGAGGCGGTAATTGAAAATGTCAATACAAATTGACACACCACAATTAAGCCAACTCAACACTGCTCTGCTACTTTACCTCCTTTACATCCGCCAAAAATAATAAAAAGGCACCTCCCTTCATCACAAGCCACATCTCCGACAGCTGCCACCCTCCAAATCATCCCTACTTATTCTTAAGATGCAAAACACTTCTAAAACTCGATCTCGAGCTCGTATTAGCGCTACTCAGATTAATAATAATCGAAGTCGAATCCAAGTTGCCAAACCGATTAGTCGTACCCAAATCCAAATCGCCACAAAATTGCGCCAATGTCAAGATTGAATTCTGCACTTCGTGCAAATTAGAATGACGACGTCCATTGACTCCACTCCGGGTGCTGCTGCTGCCCAAATGTCTAAATTTTCGGAAATTTCTCCTATTCGGTGACCGTGTGGATGATGTTGTTGACGGTGTCATTGTCAATCCGTGTGGAACAAAGGGACCAAAGGGGCCAAAAGAGCCTGGTGGGTGTGTGGGAACTAGAGCATTACCACGGCTACTTCCACCACCTCCTGGTGCAACACCCATTGCGCCATTGGGTATATTTGCTGAATTTGACGACATCATCATCATCATCATTTTACTTGATGAAGACACGTACCCCCCATTGGGATTGATGTGGACACCATCGGGGTCGGGCTGAACTTGGTAACTTGACGATATAGATGCATCTTGTGCATCTTGTGCATCTTCTGCGTCTGGTGCGGCTACAGCTACTGGTGATTCTGGCACTGGCACTAGCAGTGCTGCTTCTGCTGCTGCTGGAGGAGGAGGAGGAGGAGGATGTGCATGTGGATGAGGCAATGGAGGAGCCGGTATAGCAGCAAGACTTTGTGTTGAATTTTGGGAATAAAGCTGTTGCGTCAACATATTAGTATACCCACTTCCACCTATATGTCCAGTAATCTGTCTCACTGGAGTAGCGTACCCATTCGGATGCAAAATAAAGATATTTCCCTGTTGGTCAGCTAGTCGGACATAGTTGCCATGGTGAAACGGGCTTGATCCATATGCATATCCATTCACGTGTCCGTATGGGTTTCCGTGCCCGTGTCCGTGTCCATGATGGTGGCTCATTGACGGCGTATGGGACGATGAAGACACGGTTAAGTCAACACTGGAAGCAGCTTTATTTCCTTGTTGTTGCGGCTGTGCTCTGTCTTTAGTGCTATTGTTGTTGTTGTTGTTGTTGTTTGTTATTGCATCAGGACCAAATGTCAAACTCTCGCGACCTTTGATCAATTCCTTAACTTCAGAATCTACACTTTCAGAGTCGTCGCTAGTTGAAGTGGAAGTTGCTGGTGTATTGGTTGTTGGAGTAGAATGAGTGGAATTTTGTGAATTGGTGGAATTGGTGCAATGGGTGCAATTGGTAGAATCCAACGAGTCGGCCAAATTAGTTGCATTGCTGGAGTTTCTTGATGTGGTGGAATTGGTGGAATTGGTGATGTCGGTAGTGGACTCTCTCGAATTTGTCACATCTGGCGACATCTCAATTGTCGACTCGCTTGTTGTGGTGGTTGTGATTACACCTGACATTTGGATAAGATTGGTGATGTTCTAAACTCTAATAACTGCCTACCCCTCCCCTTTTTTCTATGGTTCTAATCTGATGCTATCAAGAAAAAAAAATAAAAATAAAAAGATGTGTTATTTCTAAAATACCAGTTCGGTCTGTTTATTTAAGCTGAATGGTGTATAAGAAGGCTTTGGTGGCTTCGACAAGGTGCAATTATGCTAAAACTGTCCAAACTTGGGTATCAATGAGGGTCTTCCAGCACAACAACTCCAATAAGTGATCGATCAGCTTCAGCTCGTCGAAAATAATTTAATTTGTTGACAATTGGGTATTGGATGAAGCAATGAAATGAAATGAGATTGAAGAATAAAAGAAGAAGAATAAAAAAAAATTTACAGACAGAGCCCAGCTGTTCTTTAGTGTTTTTACACAAATGTTGCGAGTATTAGAGAGAGCAAGAGGTAATGAGAGAGATTTAGCATTAAAAAAGGGAGGATCATGAATTACTAATACCTAAATTTTTCATGCCTGGATCAGAGTGCTCACTTAGTGGTTCTATTAAATTAAAAATAAAATGAAATAAAACAAATATGGAAGAGTTTACTCAACCCCCTCCCCCAATAGAAAAGAACTAATTAAGATAATCCCGAATCTTGGCCGTTGTGTTTTTTTTTCTGGGTCATGGCCAAGGGGTGTCAAGAAAAAACTGAAAATGGAACAGTTTTAACTCAAGGTAAGGAGAAGAGTGATCAGATTTAGGAAAATACAACGTGTGGTGAATTTTGAGGTGGATCTACAATTAAACGGATCGTGGAAACTGCAAGGTGGGAGAATGTTGGGGTGGGTGGGTTTGGGGGCAGGGTCTGAGGTGATTGTGTTGTCTACTTGACTCCTATTAAGAAGTGATGTGAGTTATTATGAAGGTGGAAGAGCCTTAATGTACTTACAATGCAATGTATTCAGTCCAGTATCTGAATATGTATGCCCCGTGTCTTTTGTTTCTGCATTTTGCTTTTTTGTTATGTTCAAAAGAGTGGTGCATTGTTGGTGCAAACTCTCACACATGACATTGACGGTTACGCCACATACAATCCCTCACCAGTTGTTGGCCAATGTACATGTTTTGATACTTTGTTTATGACGTTGTGTAGATTAGTACCATCTCATTTCTCTGCACTGTTATGTTGATTGGTTTGCCATCTTCTCTTGACCCTTCCTGGTTTGTTTGTTTGTTTGTTTGTTTGTTTTTTTTGCAACTCTTTGACAACTTTGTGTCTCAATGGTAGCGTCACTCTTCTGGGCAATACAGCACGACCTTTTGTATATAGGAAAGCATTATTCTTCCCATTGAGTGAATCTTGACCTTTCAGTTACTGTCTGGTATGACAAATGAGAATAAGACTACCACACAGGATCAGGCACACCAAGCAAAGAAGATGAATCGAGAGAAAAACTCCCCGTCGACGGTAACTCACTGGCATTGGCAAACCTGTCTGTCCCTGTCAAATTTGACTCGCATTTGTTTGCCTGTTTCGGGCCGAGGTTAAAGAAGCAACAAATCTGAAAAAGACAAACCCCCCCCCCCCCCCCCCACACACACACACACACACACACACACACGACCTTTTCTTTCCTCCCGCACCAATGCGCGCCTAATAATCCAATCAAACTCAAACTCGTCAAAACCTTTTGCACAGTTTTTTTTTTTCTCTTTTTAACATCTTCCTTCTGATAGTATCGCTTGTCATAATTGAGATATATATGTTGACGAGTTTGTTCAAAGCACCAAAATTTATCACCACTACTAGATCTATTACTCAATTAGTCAAGTATCGTCCATTTCAATCCACTACATTCACAAAAATGCCAGCTCCTTTCCAATACAAACAACCAGAACACAGATTGACTTTGATTCCAGGTCCAATTGAATTCAGCGACGATGTGTTGGCATCTATGGCTGTGCCTTCACAAGCTCACACTTCACCCGACTTCATCTACACTTTTCAATACGTGCTTCAAAACTTGCGCAAGTTGTTCAAGTCTACAGATGCAAACACCCAGGGTTATGTGTTGAGTGGATCGGGTACTTTGGGCTGGGACATTGCTGCTACAAACATTATTGAACCAGGTGAAAAAGTTCTTGTTTTGTCAACGGGGTTCTTTTCCGACTCATTTGCTGAATGTTTGAAGGTTTACGGTGCAGATGTCGATGTAATCACTGCTGATATTGGAGATGTTGTTCCATTGGACAAGGTCAAGGAACAATTGCAAAAGGAAAAGTATGCTGCTATTACCATAACCCACGTTGACACTTCAACTTCGGTTGTCAGTGATGTCGAGGCAATTAGCAAAGTTGTCAAGCAAGTGTCTCCAGAAACTTTAATCATTGTTGATGGTGTTTGTTCAGTTGGTGTTGAAAATATTGAGTTTGACAAATGGGGGTTGGACTTTGTCTTGACAGCTTCGCAAAAGGCCATTGGAGTCCCAGCCGGTTTGGCAATTTTTTACGCTAGTGAGCGTGCATTGTCCAAAGCTTTGAATAAGGAGAAGGACACAACTTTCTTTGCCAGCTTGAAAAGATGGACACCCATCATGAAGGCTTACGAAGGTGGATCTGGTGCATACTTTGCCACACCTGCAGTTCAAACCATCACCGCTTTAAAGACCTCATTGGAGGAAATCTTTGCAGAGGGCTTGGACAAGAGATTTGCCACACAAGCTAAGAAATCCGACGAGTTCAAGGCCAAGGTTAAGGAGTTGGGATTGACCATTTTGCCCAAGAACAATAATGTTGCCGCACATGGATTGACCGCTGTATACTTTCCTGAGGATATCAATGGACCTGATTTGTTGAAGAAGTTGGGTGAGAAGGGCTACACTGTTGCCGGTGGTATTCACAAGAAGTTGGTGGGTAAGTACTTCCGTGTTGGTCATATGGGTTATTCAGTTTATGCTGGTCATATCGATAGTTTTGAAAAGGCTTTGGAAGAAAGCTTGAAAGAATTGAAACAGTAAAGATATTTTGAGTTAGCTGTATATATATATACATATAGATATATGTATGCCATAGAGACTTTGTTTTATGTATTTGACTGTAATCGGTTAGTAAAAGGTCTGGAGAGTGTTGAGTCTAGAACTGAAGCGAGATTTTTAATGCGCTCTTCAGCAGAGCTTTGAGTGGTAATTTGTGAGTGACTACGAACATGTTGGAGAGCCTCCTATGTGCAAGGGCCAATGCGTGCTAAGGTAAGAGAATGGTGTCTAATTGGTTTTTAGTAGATTTATCCCCACATATCTGTGTATTGCTGATAAATCTCTCTGTGAGAAAAGAGCGCCACAGCTTTCTCTTCTCACTTTTGTTTTTTTTTTTTTTTAAATTTTTTTTTTTTCACCAATTACAAACCATATAACCACTAGTATTTAATTAGCTAGATCTCCTTCCACCTTATACACTTGCTTAGACAAATAGATATGCTTCTCCTAAGAGGTTCATTGCGGAAAACATGGCCCGCATTCACCAACCTGACGCGGCTATGCAGGACCAATCTACTTCGACTAGGGCACGCCAACTCTTGTCCGATACGGACATTCACGAAAACAACTCGATTACTTCATGGACCAAGCGATGCTGATCCAACACCACCACCAACAACCAAGATTCCAAAACCCGCAGAGGGCAAAACCGACAACAGCTCATCATCATCTTCTTCTTCTTCGTCGTCGTCGTCGTCGTCGGACTCACCATATTCTCTCTTTGGCAGAAAAGTATCCACTTCGGAATTGTTCATGATGCGATCATTGTTCAAGACTATTTGGCCCAAGGATAACCCCAAGTTCAAAATCAGAGTTCTCATAGCGGTGTCGTTGTTGATTGGGTCCAAATTGCTCAACGTCGAAGTACCGTTCTTGTTCAAGCAAATCATTGATCAAATGAATGTGGGCTGGACACAAGAAGTTGGTGTCTTGTCAACTGTGATTGGATCATTGATCCTCGCTTATGGCGGTGCCAGGTTTGGTGCTGTATTGTTTGGAGAGTTGAGAAATGCCATTTTTGCAAGTGTGGCGCAAACTGCAATTAAACGCGTGGCTTCAAATACATTTAATCGGTTATTGAACATGGATTTACAGTTTCATTTGTCACAACAAACGGGTGGGTTGACTCGTGCTATTGATCGAGGAACCAAAGGTATCAGTTATGTGCTCACGGCAATGGTGTTTCATATCATCCCCATCACGTTTGAGATTAGTATCGTTTGTGGGATCTTGAGTTACAACTACGGAGTACCATTCGCAGCAATGACGTTTTGCACAATGTTGGCATACTCGGTATTTACAATCAAGACTACGGCATGGAGAACAAAATTCAGACGACAAGCCAATAATGCCGATAATCAAGCTGCTAGTGTTGCATTGGACTCGTTGATTAATTACGAAAGTGTCAAAATCTTCAACAATGAAGCGTTCCAACTGAAGAAATACAACAATGCATTGACAAAGTACCAGAATGCCCTGGTTAAAGTTGCCACCAGTTTAGCTTATCTCAATGCGGGGCAAAACTTTATCTTCACTCTGGCACTAACGGCAATGATGTATATGGGATGTCAAGGAGTTGTATCTGGAGGTTTAACAGTTGGTGACTTGGTCTTGATCAATCAACTTGTTTTCCAGTTGAGTGTGCCCTTGAATTTCCTTGGTAGTGTTTATCGAGAATTGAAGCAAAGTTTGCTTGATATGGAAAACTTGTTTCAATTGCAAAATGTCCCCATCAAAATCACCGAAGTTGAGGGTGCGCCACAGTTGGAATTGAATCAACGCAGCCCCGGTGAAATCAAGTTTGAGAATGTCTCATTTGGGTATCATCCAGATAGACCGATTTTGAAAAATGTCTCATTTACAATCCCAGCAGGACAGAAAGTGGCAGTTGTAGGGCCCTCGGGTAGTGGTAAGTCAACAATTTTGCGATTAGTGTTTCGATTTTATGATGTTGATCTGGGCCGTATTTTAATTGATGGACAGGACATTACGAAAGTATCATTGGAGTCGTTGCGTAAAAAAATCGGGGTTGTTCCTCAAGAAACTCCACTTTTCAACGACACGATACTTGAAAATATTCGATACGGTGATTTACAATCGACTGATGAACAGATCCATGAAGTTGTGTCGCTTGTTCAACTAGACCACTTGATTAAAGATTTACCCGATGGTGAACACACAATTGTTGGGGAACGAGGCATGATGATATCGGGTGGAGAGAAACAGAGATTGGCTATTGCTCGACTCTTGTTGAAGAATGCCCCCATCACCTTTTTCGATGAGGCGACATCTGCATTGGATACGCATACCGAACAAGCGTTGCTCAAGACTATAAGAGCCATTTTCAAGCGTGATAGTAGAACAAATGTGTCTATTGCACATAGGCTAAGAACCATTGCTGATGCAGACAAGATTATTGTATTGAATAAAGGACATGTACAGGAACAAGGCTCGCATGTTCAGTTATTGAGCGATCCTGAATCATTGTATGCACAATTATGGAACATTCAAGAAAACTTGGATGTAGAGGAGCAGTTGAGGTTGGAAGAGGAAGAGAGGTTAAGAAAGGAAGAGCAAGAATTAGAGCAATAGGGTAAATAGAGCGTATACATGTACATATTACTAAGTATACTTGTGTTAGAGTGTGGCACTCTTTGATGACGCCACAAAATCGCCATCAACGGTTATCAATAAAATTTGACGGTCGAAACATCCAAAAAAAAAAAAAAAAAAAATGAAACAGGATCTTCCCTCCGCATTTCAAGCAACACCACAGCTGCAAAACAATGTGTAGACCAGCAGAATGTCAAATATGCCGTACGTAGCAGGTGGGTACGAATTGCCACTTTATTTTTCTGCAAAAGTGAACTATCATACTAACTGACACCACAGTGAAGAGTACATGGGTAGGATGTGGATTGCACGTCCCCCGCGCCATGGATAATGTGCCCAAGGACCAATGGTGCGCATGCAAATCGGCAAGTGGGGTCGAACTTAATGGGTATCCTCCCAAATATGGCGATGCGAAATGACTAGGTGACCCGAGCTTGGATCCACAGTTGAATGGTAGTGGTGGTGGTGGTGGTAGTAGTGGTATTGGATTCGCGTGGAATTGGATCTTGTTGGGTGTAGTTGTATACTTGTTGATTAGAAAGTTGAAGAGGTAGGGGTGGCTGGCTTGATGAGTCTTGTGTGAAGTTGTGAGACGTTTATAGTGAAGAACAGATTGAAAAGAAGTCAAACATTGTGGAAATACCACTGCGTAAACTGAACACTGTGATAACAGTATCAGGTATGCCTTTAGCCATCTCTGTAATAAGGGTTGGGTCCGTGGAAGGAATTTGTGAATGTAGTCAGATGCTAAAGTAATGAGCGATTTTATTTTCGAGATTCTATAAGCCAACGATAGCAGTTAAAGAAAATAATGTCTTTTCCAGTCATGTGCATGGAACAGAAGCATATTAGAAGAAGCATCCATGGATACTCCCATATGTCTTATACTACGGCTTTGTATACTAGCATTTCTGCAAATTCAGTCACATTTTGCACCAAATTAAAGGGAAATCGTGGGAGAATGTTATGCAAATACTGCATCAACATCTGTCTCTCAAAAAAAAAAAAAACAAAAAAAACTCTGGGAGAAGAATAAGCATATCAGCGAGTCAAGACAAAGGTAGTAGATGAGAACTAACTATGTCGGATGTCTATCAAAATTCGTTATTGATAACTAGATCTTTTGAAACTATATAAATCACGTGCATATCACATGATGCTAAATTGTTGTGTCACAATTTTCATTCCCAAGATAAGAAAATATTCAACATCCGCTACATAAAGGACGTCAGAAATATTTTTTATTTTATTTTATTTTTTTTGTTTTTTTTGAAAAAGAGTAAACGCCGTTTAATCAAGATGCTTGCTTGTGGTAGAGTGCATTATGACCTCTCGAAAATAGTTTGAGCTTAAGTTGGCCGCAACTGAAAACCAATACCATTTGTGAATGTTGCATCTGTATTGCAGCATATAGTGAGTACTACGTCGCATGAACACTGTTTTCCAGATGCCACGGAGCCGTTTACAAATCTGAATACTTCTTGCTCACGATGCCGGAGATCTCTAACCTTGTCCCCATTCGGTGCTGCTACGGCCCCACCCAACAAACCACACCAGATTAAAACAATACATTTCTTACCCCACCTTGAAGATCCATACGTGCCATTGTTCTTTTGGAATAAGATTGCAAAGAAGAACTACCAGTTCTTATACAGGACTACAAGCGGCTTGTTTAACTGTTGTTAACCCACTCATTCTTTCCTAATCATAATCTTTGTTTGTTCTTTGTGTCAAGTGCCGCGAAAAAAGGTCAAGAAATAAATTTTGCGACCAAGAAAAAGTCGAGTCTGGCAATTTTCTTGGTTGGATTTCATCATCAAGAAACAACCACAACAACAATGACTCAAATAATGACTGTTGCAAAAGAGTAATTACGTATTGCATTATTATTATTATTATTATTATTATATTCCACACTTGTCACAGGATATAGTTTTTCCATGCTACGCTATTATGACGTTTTTCTTGAAAAAGAGAATTAGCGTTTTAGAGTTTTAGCATCATCATCGAAACATTATAAATATGGCCCCAATGTCCCTGCCAATGGAACCACTTATGCTGCGTCATTCTTTGAGTAAAAAAAAAAAGAAAGCTGTACTATCCTAACTACTACCACTAGTACTACACATTCTCAGCATCATGGGTAAATACAGCTGGACATATGACTGGTTAACCAACAGAACATCAACCGCAGGACTCCGCGGAAGGAAATTGCGTGTGGCAGTCACATTGACCGCCACCGTTGGGTTTTCCCTCTTCGGATACGATCAAGGGCTCATGTCAGGTATCATCACTGGTGAACAATTCAACAAAGATTTCCCACCAACTCTCGACAACAAGACTATTCAAGGTGCAGTGGTTGCATGTTACGAATTGGGTTGTTTCTTTGGTGCTCTTTTTGCCTTGCTTAGAGCCGATGGAATTGGAAGGAAACCAATCATTACCGTGGGTGCCATCATCATTATTATTGGCACAATCATTTCTGTTACGCCAATGAGACCACATTGGCAAACTGGTCAATTCGTTGTTGGTAGAGTTGTCACTGGTATTGGTAATGGTATGAACACAGCTACCATTCCAGTCTGGCAATCGGAAATGTCGAGAGCTGAAAACAGAGGTAAGTTGGTCAACATTGAAGGTGCTGTCATTGCTATTGGTACTTGTATTGCCTATTGGACCGACTTTGGGTTTTCGTACATTGACAATTCAGCCCAATGGAGATTCCCCACTGCGTTCCAAATTGTATTTGCCGGTTTACTTTTGGCTGGTATTATTGTCATGCCGGAATCGCCTCGTTGGTTGATTGCTCATGATCGCAAACCGGAGGCTTATGAAGTGTTGGGATACCTTAATGATTTGCCACCAGATGATGATGCTGTTGTTGCTGAGGGTACCACCATTATCGATGCCGTCAATAGATTTGCCAATGCCCAAACTGGATTCAAGGACTTGTTCACAGGAGGAAGAACTCAACATTTCCAAAGAATGGTTATTGGTTCGTCATCACAATTTTTCCAACAATTCACTGGTTGTAATGCAGCCATTTACTACTCCACCATCTTGTTCCATGAGACTATTTTCAATGGCGAACAATACAGATTGTCTTTGATTTTGGGTGGTGTTTTCGCAACCATCTACGCGTTGGCCACCATCCCTTCATTCTTTTTGATTGATACTGTCGGTAGAAGAAAATTGTTCCTTGTTGGTGCCATTGGACAAGGATGTGCCATGATTATTTCATTTGCCTGTTTGATTGACCCAACCACTCAAAATGCCAAAGGTGCAGCCGTTGGTATCTACTTGTTTATTGTGTTCTTTGCATTCACAATCTTGCCATTGCCATGGATCTACCCACCAGAAATCAACCCATTGAGAACGAGAACCACTGCATCTGCAGTCTCCACGTGTACCAACTGGATCACAAATTTCGCAGTTGTTATGTTTACGCCTGAATTTATTGAAAGATCAAACTGGGGTACCTACTTGTTCTTTGCTTGTTTCAACTTCCTTTTCGTGCCAGTCATTTTCTTCTTCTACCCAGAAACCGCAGGTAGATCATTGGAGGAAATCGACATCATTTTCGCTAAAGCCCACGTTGAAGGAAGACAACCATGGAGAGTCGCTGCCACTATGCCAAAGTTGTCGTTGAAGGAGATTGACGAACAGTGTAAGAGTTTGGGGTTGTTTGATGAAAATTTCGACAAGGATAACTATGAAACCAAGGAAGATATTAGTGAATCTTCTAGTAATGATGAGTTGAAGCATAGGGATAAGGGGGTGTTTGAAAAGGGCTCTCAAGAATCGGAAATGGATACTAGATCCGATAGTAGAGACGTTTGATTGAAAAGTGAGGATTTGTAGAGAGGGTGAATCCTAGTGGTGGCTACATCGTATAGAGCGTGTACAGTCGAATTTATTGTACACGTTTGTCTTTTAATAAAGTGTTTTCTCTTAATTCACTCTGTGGTGTCGTGCACTTGAGTAACGATGCCAAAGGTCTCTATTTTGCTTTGCTGGGAATAAAGCATACTTGACGCACCATTGTAGGCTACCATATACAATTCAACTGATGCTTGCACATAATCGGTCCTCCTCATACTTAGTGGCTTCAAATAATCATCACACAGCAAGCTCACACAGCAAGCTCACACAGCAAGCTCACACAGCAAGCTCACACAGCAAGCTCACACAGCACATTCATCTATCCGTAAACAACGTAAACAACTCAACATCATATGACTTTGAAAAAGCATGACCGGCGGAGGTAAAACGAGGGAGTACGGAGAGAGCAAGGGGGTCTTGTATAAATCCGATCAATCAAATGCGCCTCTTGCGCTTGTTAATAAACCACAAAATGCAAGTGTCACATTTTTAAATCCGATTTTGAGAAGAGAAAAAATAGTGGCTTTTCAAGCTTGATCCACTCTGATTATTTAAAGCTGTGTTGCAGCAAATGTTTGAAAGCCATGTTGGACTACAAGATACAGCCCTCATTATGGTGCTACTTGTATGCTAGCACCCATCTACCACCGAAGTGGTATGCTTCTGTAAATTATGCAAGTATATCTCCGATGGAAAGGGTATGACGTAATACAACATATTATGTGGTTCTTTAGTTACTGCACTTTTCGATTGCGCCTATTGTTGGCAGCAAAAGAAAAAAACCGTGACATTTCGAACCTGCCGGTTATAAATCGCAACAATAGGGCTATGGCAAGAGTGTACACACAATAGTTCTCTCAAGCGACAGTATACTGGTTAATTTCTGGGGTAAAAGCGCAACCAATCTTTGTTGAAAAAAACAGCATATAAATAGGGACGCAAATTCCCTCAAGAGCTGCAAAAGGTTAAGATGTTGCCCTTTAAGTAACACATCAAAGTCACAACCAAAAGAATATTAAACATGTCGATCAAGAACTTAAACATTATTCAAAACATAAAAGAGAAAGAACAAGCCAAAGAGCGCCAAAAACGCGAAGCATACGAAGCTGAAGTCCAAAAAAGAAGAGAGGAGGAAAACCAAAATGCTATTCCTGTGCATAGCAATGATTCAAGGAGAATCAGTGATGATGAAGCATCTACTGTTGTTGGAGCTGGTTCAATTGCAAAGGGAAAAGAAGGCGTTGAATCTCATCATCAACACAAACATTTCCTGCCTTATGGCAAAACAGGAGATCCCGAAAAGGATGCCAAGAGAGCGGCTGAATATGAAGCCCGTAAGGCAAAGAGAGAGGCGAAGGATAAAAAGAGAGGGTTTAAGAAGGTAGCTGGTGACATTTCTTGGCCGGTTTGGGGAGGTATGATATAATAACTGAATTTGATAGCTGGTCCTATCTTTAGCAGTGCTCTTGATGCGCATTGTGTAAGCACAGGTTTGCAATTCTTTTTAATAGGGCAGTTTATTCAATACACGTTGTCATTTGAAAAGTAAATCACTTTGCTCTTTCCTTTTGGAGCCGCAAATGATCAAGATTCGAATCCTTTTTTTTTTCTCAACTGGAAACGCAGTCCGGTTTGCACCAGTATTGGTCTCTAAGCTTCTCACGTCAAGAAAGGCTTGTTCACCTACCAGTTAGTTGTATCAACCAAGAGATGTATTGTTTAACTGTAAAGCAAAGCAGTTTCCAACTTGACAGTTTGTTTACGAATATAATGGGCTCTTAATGACACTAGGTGCTAGTAATGTTGGCAGTCATTGTTTGAAAAGCTCTAAAGTTCTGTTCAAGACCAATTATACTCTCCTAAGAACCACCGACAAGTACTCACTCGCCAGTTTCTCCAGCATTGCCTACCCAACATTTCATGCAGCTAGGAACTCTCAAATCATCAATACCCAACAGAATCACATCTATCTAAGTGGCTCACACCCTTCCCCGCGAGTCTACTCCATTCAAGTTTTACGAATCCTCCGAGTTATCCAATTTTTTTATTGTTCAACCAAAACTCTGTGTTCCCCACAGAGCATTAACCAGGGAAGGAGAATACGCAAACAATAATAGAGATAGATACAAACCAACAAAAGACAAAGAACGGAACCAAAAGCCTCTTTTCCAACGGAAGTACTTTCGGGTAGATTTGAAAAAAAAAAACCTCTGAAGAACAACCAGCACCTTTATTGTTGTTTTGAAATTCTATTACAAAAGTTACAAGCCAACTTTGTACTACCCTAGATAGAACTAAAAACACAAATTCCTCGCGATTCAAGCGCGTAGTTGAAGAAAAGAATACTAACCTGAAACAAGGCACCGTCTCCCCGTCTCTCTCTCCTCCCCCCCACCTTTTTTCCCCACGTCGCGGTCTGTATACGGCACGAGACTTGGTAAAGACCATACTAAGGTATTGGCATGTGCTTTTCACATGCTATTGTGATTAAAGGTGATATCTATCCTCTCAAAGAATCAAACGTATTACATTCCTTTTTCAAATGGATCTTGGGCGTCAAGACACATTTCTTGAACATACTTTTGTAGACTTTGGTTGAGTATCAGACTAGGTTATCATAGTTTTGGTAGATGGTTTTGCCTACGCACGCGAAAGCAGAGCGGTGAGAAACCGGCGGGATTGCCGCTGACAAAATAGCTTAATCGATGCTGCTGTGGTGACCCAAGGCTACAAATCTGTGCTTCGAAATCAGCTAGTAGAGTGGAAAATGCCCTGCTGAATCGCATTTCCTTGTAAGGAAAAGTAGAGAGAAGCCATGACAACAACACCGACCAATACTGCATATCTACAAGTGTGAAAAAGAAAAAAAAAAAAAAAAAACAAGACAAGAAGACAACAAAGCTCATTCATTAAGAGATTATGTAATTTAACTGCAAATGGAAAGAAAACATGTGAATTGTTGCAATGTACTATGATGTAATTGTCAAAAAATAAATAAAAAAAAATACAACCATTAGTCGTGTGCAAATTGACAAAAAGAAAAAGTTGTTTTGTGTGCATTGAAAAGACAATGTGTGCTTGTACACAGGACTTAGTGTGAATATCCCAAAGTCAAATCTGAAACCATACAAAGTTATTCCGTTTGTGTAAAAAAACAGTAGAGAGAAAGACATTGTTTTTCCATTTCGGTCGGTGGGGAAGAAAGAAAGAATCGATGATCGCGAAAGAAGAAGAAGTAGAAGATTTCAAGCAGGTTTACGAGAAGACTCCATCTTTCATTCTGAGTACAGTTAATGCCTTTGCATGTACTACGAGTGAAGGGCATACATATGAGTTGGAGTCTCATCAAGTTGTCGAGCCATAATGCTTTTTCGTGCGATTTTTTGCATCAGTTGTCGGGAATTTTGCTGCAAAAAAATTACAACAACAAGTGCAAACTCAGCATAGTTTTTACAACAATAGTTCACTATCCGCGGAAATGAAGCTTCCTCTAATCTTTGTTGTGTATTAAAATTGTACTTAAAACAAGTGGAGATGGATCTCAATGGTGACTAAAAGCGTTAACAATGTTGTCTAAGCCATCACAATGTGTGAAATATCCCTTTTGACTCTGATATTTCAAGACTAGCATGATAGTCTCGTATAAGTTTCTCCTCCACAAGGAAAGCTGAGCTACAAATAAACAAAAACTCGAAACAATCCATTCTCGGTTAAATCTCGATACGTAATGTTTCAACCGTATAGATTTTGTGACTCTGCTCGAGATTTGGTTTCTAATATTGGAGAAAGTCTTTTTTCCCCGAGGGTTATATACTAAATAGTTTTGCTTGCCATATTTGTGAAACTTTTATATAAAAAAATGGTCTGACCATTTTGCATTTTTTGCATTGTCGTGTTTTTAAAATCGCTTTCTACAGCTGTATTTATCCACTGTTCCACCCTACCGTAGATGTGTCAAGTTATCTTTAGGAACACGGAGAAGGGTATCACGCACCAGTGTTTATCTTTTCTTTATTGACTCTCGGGTAGATGGTAGCATCGTCCCGAATCACTGTTTCGTGTCAATAATATGCAGGTTTCATCGAGGGGCGAATGATGAGCAGAGATTAATATAACACAAAACTATTATGGTAGTGCGGCTTGACGAAAAAAAAAACAATTTTTGACTTTGTGGTATAAAATACGTCATCAACTTAAAGTTGATATTTTGAGCCAGCTTTAACAAAGATGGTGGCTCGTATACGGGAATAGGTGTTAATAGAAGCGAGGTGGACAGAAAGACAGAAAGACAGATACACAAGATTCATATCAATGCAATGCCAGTTCCCTTGTCAACAAAGCAAGATGAGTGCAACACTGTAACAATGAGTATGTATCTTGAGTTTACATCATTTTCCTTTCTATATTTTTTGCACCACTTCAATTTCTTTTAATGTCGTTCGTGGCTTAAAAATGTCATCTTCCCCACTCTAATTGCAAAATGACCTCATTGACTCCACCAGACAGATATTTTAGCTCTTTCAACTCTTACTCAGTAGGACAAGTGACATAACCATTCACTCTCGCTTGACCTGATCTCTAGATTAAGTGATGGAGAGTTGTTGGGGGGAGGGGGGGAGAGAGGAAAGGAAAAAAGAAACGAGATGCTTTTCTCACTTGCCACTTAACCTTGAAGTCAAGTCTACTCTCGGTGCATCAAAGAAAAGTACGTTTCGAAGTGCTGCTGGTCAAGTTTTTTTTTTGATTTTTCATTCTTTTTTCTTGGCTATTGCAGGGTTTTAATTTTTGCAGCTTTCGGCGTTTCTTTTCATTACTAATGTTGTCTCTTTATAGCCAGGTATTTTCATTTATGGTTAAATTATGGAAAATGAAAAAAAAAAACAAAACAAAAGAAAAGATAATTGTGCTTTTTTTTTTTTTTCACTGCATTTGTATCACTTTATAGCTACTTCTTTTTTTTTATAAATCAAGATATCAGATTCAAAATTTGAAGCGGATTTAAAGGACAGGTAGAGAGAATCCTAAGGGTCATTCGAGAATCTGTTTCCGATAGTCTGAGACCACAGAGGATCAAGTACATTTGTCTAGATGGAGTTGTGCGATCACCATCTTCTCAGCTACCTGGCTCAATCATATAAACTCTGATACTTGCGATGGGCTGGTACACGACTTCCACAAGAAAAGAAAAAAAAAATTCCGTGCAAAAAGAATTTTGTCTTTTCTTTTCTTTTTTTTTTTTCTTTTCTCTCTTTTACATTTACCCGCTTGATTTTTAGATTTAGACACATTTTCCACACATTACATACTGCTAGCACTGCAGGAGCAACTCTAAACTAAATTGCTGTCATTGCTTTACAGGCAAGATAAAGAAACAACGTTTTGCCTATATGCTCCATTTTCATCTTCCATTTTCTCAATCTTAGAGGATGAGAAGTCTACTTGCAATAAGTCCTGTACACAAGAGGTCATGCAGAAGGGTAAAATGCTTCACCCTCTGCCTTTCACCCAGTCTATTGTCTAAAAGACGAAAACAATAGTTTGTGTTTGTATAAGTTGGTGAGAGTGTGCATATAAAAAACGGCTACTGCATAGAAGATGTTGCTTTACTATTACACAAACACAGCAAACAACAATAGCCCATACAGAGGAAAACCTTTTCATGCAATTTGTAAACAAAAAACAAAAACCAAAATTCAACCGAAAACACTACGGCATTTCACCCCTCCCTCCCTCTTCTTTAAATTATGTAGTACAATGTACTGTACACTATGATTTATACAGAATGGGTGTTTCTTTTTTCTTTTCCATTTTTTTATTTTTTTTTTTATTTTTGCATTTGTTACCAAAGACGTGTGCATAAGTATAGTTTTCTCCCATTTCTTCACTTTTGACATCTATATAAACCATCTCAAATCCGCTGACTCCACAAGTTAAATTCCCAAAAACCTTCTTTTCTTCTTCTTCTTCCTCTTTTGCTATCATTTTTCTTGGAATAAAAGATAATACTATTTTCCCATCTACATTTCTTGTCCAAACGATACTCCCCTTAGATCAGTTATCGTTTCAAGAAAAATATCATTTACGCCAAGGTTTATCGCCAAGATCTAGAAGAGGTTTTATCGCCAACTGGCTACTATCTTACCAAGAACTTTTACTATTTTTGTTTTGACAGGTATTTTTCCCCCCTGAAGAAAACAAGTCAAAACAATAAGTATCATCACCACACCCCCACTCCCCCCCCGCTTTACAAACCTTTCACATTCACATATTCTACTAAAACATGGGGTTTGCTGAAAGAGTCGACGTATTGGCCGGTAGGACGTCCACCGGTGGAATGAGAGGTAGGAGATTGAGATTCCTCATTACTGTTACTGCCACTGTTGGTTTCTCCCTTTTCGGTTATGACCAAGGTCTTATGTCTGGTTTACTTAACGGTGACCAATTCAAGAAAGAGTTCCCACCAGCTGATGGTAACTCCACTATCCAAGGTGCTATTACTGCTTGTTATGAAATTGGTTGTTTCTTTGGTGCTATTTTTGCCTTGTTGAGAGGTGATTATTTCGGTAGAAAACCACTTATGCTTGCTGGTGCTCTTATCATTATTGTCGGTACCGTTATTTCCACGGCGGCAATCAGGCCATATTGGCAAACTGGTCAATTCGTTGTTGGTAGAGTTGTCACTGGTATTGGTAATGGTATGAACACAGCTACCATTCCAGTCTGGCAATCGGAAATGTCGAGAGCTGAAAACAGAGGTAAGTTGGTCAACATCGAAGGTGCCGTTGTTGCAGTTGGTACTTGTATTGCTTACTGGATTGATTTCGGTTTCTCATACATCAACAGTTCGGTCCAATGGAGATTCCCCACTGCGTTCCAAATTGTATTTGCTGCCTTGTTCTTTATCGGTCTCACCAGCTTGCCAGAATCTCCACGTTGGTTGATTGCTCACCATCGTAGAGCTGAAGCCCACGAGGTGTTGGGATACCTTAACGACTTGCCACCAGATGATGATGCTGTTGTTGCTGAGGGTACCACCATTATCGATGCCGTCAATAGATTTGCCAATGCCCAAACTGGATTCAAGGACTTGCTTACTGGTGGAAAAACCCAGCATTTCCAAAGAATGGTTATTGGCGCCTCAACCCAATTTTTCCAACAATTCACTGGTTGTAATGCTGCCATTTATTACTCAACATTGTTGTTTTACCAAACAATTTTTGACTATTCTAAATACAGATTGTCTTTGATTTTGGGTGGTGTTTTCGCAACCATTTACGCGTTGGCCACCATCCCTTCATTCTTTTTGATTGATACTGTCGGTAGAAGAAAATTGTTCCTTGTTGGTGCCATTGGACAAGGATGTGCCATGATTATTTCATTTGCCTGTTTGATTGACCCAACCACTCAAAATGCCAAAGGTGCAGCCGTTGGTATCTACTTGTTTATTGTGTTCTTTGCATTCACAATCTTGCCATTGCCATGGATCTACCCACCAGAAATCAACCCATTGAGAACGAGAACCACTGCATCTGCAGTCTCCACGTGTACCAACTGGATCACAAATTTCGCAGTTGTTATGTTTACGCCTGAATTTATTGAAAGATCAAACTGGGGTACCTACTTGTTCTTTGCTTGTTTCAACTTCCTTTTCGTGCCAGTCATTTTCTTCTTCTACCCAGAAACCGCAGGTAGATCATTGGAGGAAATCGACATCATTTTCGCTAAAGCCCACGTTGAAGGAAGACAACCATGGAGAGTCGCTGCCACTTTACCTAAATTGTCATTGCAAGAAATTGAAGCGGAAGGTAATAGTTTGGGATTGTACGATGAAGACTTTGAAAAGGACAACTATGAAACTAAGGAAGACATTAGTGATTCAACCAGTAATAACGGTAATGGAGGTGCTGCTGGTGGAATGTTTGAGAAGAACTCTGCCGAGGAAGATAACACTGCTGCTCCATCGGAACAAGTTTCAAACAAGGTTTAGTTGCACAATGAAGGCGTTTCAACACTTTGATCATCTTTATTTGCAAACTACTACCACCCCCGCGTGCTTGCCTTTTCTACTAATTTATACCTATATTTGACGGTTTGTCTTTCTTGCCTTTATTTTTCTTTTTATACAGCTTATACATTATATACAGTATTGTTAGAGGAAGTTATACAAATACATCCATATGTTTTATTGATTGAGTTTAGCTGTACAAATGACCATAGAGTAGGTAAATCTATTCGAATATGAATCCTAAAACGCATTAACGCAGGTGTTCATCAATTACAACACTCCTATCCAAAATAATAATACAAAGATATATATATATGTTACAGTAGTGCCCACTAGCACCAACACACACCCATATTCACTGATCTAATGCTCACTATCTTCCTTTCACAAGTATCCACCTCTTCTCAATTGATGCTGATGCGACTGGTCATGCGCCTGCACACTCGGATCAACATTGGGGTCAATCTGACTCAGATCCAAATCACCCTGTGCACTCTGACCAGTTCCATTGACGACATTGACACCATTTGGGCCACCAGAACCAGCACCAGCACCAGCACCAGCACCACCATGCTGTGCATTCATTGCTACCGCAGCAGCAGCAGCGGCGGCAGCAGCGGCTATATCGTTTGCATTAGAAGTGCCAGGCGCAACATTGCTATTGGCGGCTTCGAGCGCGGCATATACTGATGCATCTGGATGTTGATGGATAAGTTGCTGCTGCTGCTGATGTTGTTGTTGTTGTTGTTGTGTTCGTCCCCGTCTACTTCCTCCTGCTCCTTGTTGCGGTTGTTGCTGTTGCGGCGTGAGATTCTGGCTTAAATGACCAATCAACTCGTTGTAATTGGCAGCGCCAGCAATGTTTGATAGCGCATGCTCAAGATCCAGATTTTGTACTTGTTGGTGATGCTGTTGTTGGTGCTGGTGGAATTGAGGTGACAAGTGATGACTGTTCAGTTGAAAGTTTTGTCCACCAATACCACCAATGTTGTCAATACCGCCCACAGAGGTATCACCAACACCACCTGGACCTCCTCTTCCAAGAGAAGACGCCGAACTTCCATCCAGTTGCCTCTTCTGTTGTGGATGTTTGATCAATGGTTTCTCAACTAATGTTCTTGCTTCTTTATGTCTCTTTTTCTTGCTTGGTGGATCAGGGGGATGATTATGTTGTGGATTAATCATTCTTAAAATCCATAACTGTTCACCTTCACCATCAGTGGAGTCACTACTAGCAGCGCCACCAGCAGCAGCAGCACCACCTGACAGGTTACTACCCTCCTGTTTAATCCCAACTAGGTTGCCATTTGCGTCAAATGCACCATCGTCTTCACTCTTGATTTTTTTGTTACTGGTGGCGCTGTTGGTGTTGGTGTTGGTGTTGCTGCTGCCGCCGCTACCTGCACCACTACCCTTATCACTAGAATAAACATTAGCTACTAATCGATAAGGACACTTGTTTCTCTTTGTGTATGCAATTCGTTGTCTAATTTGTGGGTTCTTCACAGTAGTCCTAAAGGATCCAGCTCGTTCACATTGGAAATAAATTGCTTTCGGCTTGGATGAGTTGATGACAATACGACAATGGTCCTCTGGTCCCAAGACCAACTTAACATACTTGACAAGATCAGCTTTACTGTTGAAAGTCTTGACCATTTCATTTTCAACATACTTTGATCGGAGATCTTCACCAGCATCGAGCTCTTCTTGCAGTGTGGAAGAGAGTGATGATGCGTGTGATGGGACTGGCACACCTTGGTTCTGTGGTAATTGAACAACACGGTGCTGTGTTTGCAGTTGTTGTTGTTGCTGTTGCTGCTGCTGTTGCTGCTGCTGTTGTTGGAGTTGTTGAAATTGCTGAGCTTGTAAGCGGGTCTGTGCTTGCGCTCTAGCTTGAGCCTGGGCCTGTGCTTGCGCTCTAGCTTGAGCCTGGGCCTGAGCCTGCGCTCTAGCTTGAGCCTGGACCTGAGCTTGTGCTTGTGCCAATTCTCTCTGTTGTTGCTGGAACTGTTGCAACTGTTGTTGTCTTCTTTGCAATTCGGCGCGCTGTTGCAATTCAGTTGAGAAATATGGATGTTGTTGTTGTTGTTGCTGGTGCTGGTGCTGGCGCTGTTGCAGACTCTGTTGATGTCCTCCAAATGCAAGTCCAGTCGCATCGTCAGATGAGCCATTCAACGCAGTACCAACACCAGGGGTACTTAAATAGTTGGCAGGGGAAATTTGGGGATCGTAAACATCTTTCAAACCAGGTGTGTTGTTCGAATGGGCCGAATTAGGTGAAGCAGCAGCGTTAACAGCTGAAGCTGATGTCGAAGCAGCATTGGCTGACCGTCTAGAAGATGAACTCATGCTTCACAAAAAAAAACCAGGATGAATGCTAGCTTTGAACTTTGGTGAATATTTCTTTATTGAACGACAAAAAGAAAGAAAAACAAGGCGCTAAATTTTTTTTTTTTCCTTTTGTAAGAAGGTGTCAAACAAGCAATCACCAATGGGTAATGGATGGAAGTTAAATTGTATCTTGTGTAGGTTTATAACTGGACGTTAGTATATAGTGTTGTTGTTATGATTTACTCTGTTGATTTGGTTGTGAAATTTGTATGCTAGTCTGCAGGATACAAAGGAAGAGAAACAACCTGTATATTGGACTGTGTTTTGTTTCGTCTGTTGAAGAATTTTGATGAGACAGAAGAAGAAGAACAAGGTAGTGTACAATATTACAAAAGTATACAAAAGTACACTACCACCTCTTCATCTATACCAAATATACCCATAGATTCATATCTGTCTCTATCTCCTCTACTTCTTCGACAATGCACTTGATAAGCCAGTTGAATAGTTTTAAACATTACAAACACAACAAAAAACAAAAGTAACAACAAACACTATAAACGTACTGATTGTCTTCAGTATAACACAGATAGGATTTTTCATCATCAGAAACAACCCTCTAAAGAAATAAAACAACTTCAAGAAACAAAATAACTTCCTCCATCTACATTTCTCCTCTTCTCTTTTCCTTCACCATCAAAACTCAATCTTTGTAAATTTTGTTGAAAATAAACACAGACACGATGGCACAACATCAATATCGATCAAACGCTGTTCTTTTTTTTTTTTGCCTTACTCCCCCCCTCTTCAAACAGCCAATGGGAATGAACCGGCCCATTCAGAAATTTCCGCCTTGACAGCATCCAATTTCTCATCTTGTTCATGCAAGACCTTGTGCTTGAAGTCTTTCAACTTGTTGGCATCTTTAGGCAAATTAGCTTGGATTTCTTTTGCGTAATTGACAGCAAAATCAATATAGTCAACAATTCTCTTGAAATCTTCTTCACCCAATCCTCTAGTTGTCATTGCTGGGGCACCAATTCTAACACCTCCTGGAACCAAAGCTGACTTGTCACCAGGAATAGAGTTTTTGTTCAAGGCAATATTGATTCTTTCACAAACAGTTTCAATTCTAGCTCCATCAATTTGTTTGTCCTTTAATGAAACAAGAACCATGTGGGAATCAGTACCATCGGAAACCAACTTGTATCCCTTAGCTTTGAACTGTTCTTCCAAAGCCTTGGCGTTCTTGACAACTTGGTTTTGATAATCCTTAAATTCTTGAGTATCGGCTTGTTTCAAAGCAGTTGCCAAAGCAGCAATGGTGTGGTTGTGTGGACCACCTTGGTGCCCTGGGAATACAGAGAAATTGATTGGGTTTTCCAAGTCATACAAAATTTCTTGTCCTGTCTTTGGGTTAACTGATCTAACACCTCTTCTGAAAAAGATCATGGCACCTCTTGGTCCCCTCAATGACTTGTGGGTGGTGGTGGTGACAATATCAGCGTACTCAAATGGTGATGGAATGACACCAGCAGCAATCAATCCTGAAATGTGAGCCATATCAACAACAAGATATGCACCAACTTTGTCAGCAATTTCCCTCATTCTCTTGTAATCAATCAATCTACAATAAGCACTAGTACCAGCAACAAGCACCTTAGGTCTGTACAAAACAGCAGTCTTTTCCAACATATCGTAATCAATCAATCCAGTATCCAAATCAACTCTGTATGGCATAGTTTCAAAATAAGTGGAAACAGCACTAATCTTTCTCAGATCAGTTTGGTACCCATGAGACAAATGGCCACCATGAGGCAAGTCCAAACCCATCAATCTGTCATGAGGCTTCATAATAGCTTGGTACACTTGCAAGTTAGCTGGTGATCCACTCAATGTTTGCACATTGACCCCCCACTTGTCAGGAGTCAAATGGAATGCTTTCAAAGCTCTTTGTTGACACAAGGTCTCCATTCTGTCAATATGCTCATTACCACCATAGTATCTAGCACCTGGATAACCCTCGGAGTATTTGTTACTCATGGGAGTTCCCAAAGCATCAAAAACAGAAGTGGTGGTGAAGTTTTCACTGGCGATCAACACGATGGAATGTTTTTGTCTGTCAACTTCATCCTTGATGATTTGATCAACTTCTGGATCGGTTTCTTTCAAGTGACCTTCAGTCAATTGTCTGTGAGATTCTGATAAAGCGTAAGGCATAGCTGGTTAAAGTATAAATATGTGTTTGTTTAGTTTTGCTGAAAGAAAGAAAAAGAAGAAGAAGAAGAAGAAGAATGGAAAAATGGAGGGGTATTTATGCAACAACCACGTTGCAGAGATGATGATGATGAAAAATTTAAATCTTACTAATTAATCACGTGACTCACTCCTGCAACGGAGTCAAAAAAAAAAAAGAAGAAGAAAAGAAAAATAAGGGGAATTACTCTATCAATTTAACCGCCCTCTTTAAGACAATATCAAGTCCATATGCCTCATCTATTTACCTACACATTCAGTAATGAACGCAAGGGTTTTAAAACATCCTAGAGCTGGCGTGTTGTGTATCTGGTCTAAAGTCACTACGCCATCACTATTGTATTAGATGTTATGACCCTCTCTACTCACTAGTTGGATACATAAAGTATATCAATTTGCATCTATAAATCTACGAGCACCAAAGAAACGATTCTTCATAACATGTAAAACTTTGTAAATGCCCCTATTACATACGGGTTAACCAACAACAAAGGATAAAAAATATACAAACAGAACCTCCTTCTTTCAAAACTAGCACCTCAACGGTACCCTCTCCCCACCCTTTGAGACAATCAGTACAAAGTCAACCTTAACAGCACCCTCTGAGACAATCAGTACAAAGTCACCCTCAACCTATGGGAAATGGCCAACTTGGGCACCACCACACAAAGACAACTAACACCATTCAAAATAAACAAATTCAAATCATAATGGGAGTAATGAGTACTAATCAAAAACAAACAAATGGGGACCAACATCAAAAACTTCTTAGTTGGAGTATACTGATCACCATTATCAATTTGTTCCCACAAGGTTAGATTATCATAAGCTCCCGAATTAAACTCAAATGGAGTTCCCTTAACTTGATGAAACATGATATACGACCCAATCGTATATGTCAAGTTCGTCAATGTCCATTTCCAATCGTTGTCTAAAACACTGATAAAATTGTAGAAAATCTTGAGCAAGACAATGATGACAATATGGATGATCCATGCTCCCTTCTGATGAACCCAGTTGGCATTCACATTAGGGTTCAAGGTCTGGTCAATCTTGGTCTCCAACGTATCTGGTTCCAAATGTTGAATCAACGACGATGATCTACGTTGTCTAGTCACGGTTTGCGCCGGTTGATGGTGTGATGGCGTTGGAGTCAATTCAGGGTTGTTGTAACTGTTGCTTCTGACACGGTTGGGTGACGTACTAAGGATATTTGTGGCTGATGAACCGGTTGCGACAGAGGACCCATTTGGAGGTACGGCGCTTCCTCTTCTCGAAGTACTTGGTCTGCCTCTTGCCGTTGACGACGACGACGACGACGACGACGCGGCAGCGTACCCGATTCCCGTTGGTGACGAAGCACTTCTGGGTGAGGTATTGAGAAAGTTGGTATTGGGGTTACTGTGGTGTTGAGCTATGGAAGAGGAGATTGATGTTGTGGTGTTGGCTATACTGGAAGATCCAGTTGCTGCAGAAGGTGATGACGACGCATTGGTAGTTGCCCCCGTGTCTTGAGAGGAATTCGATTGTTCCTGTTGGTGTTGGCGTTGGTGTTGGTGTTGCTGCTGTTGATTTGGCGGGGTAACTGTTATATCTGCAGGTTTTAGCAATGTTTCCGATCCTGATGTCGTCGATAATGGTTTGTTGGAGTTTGATGATACTTCGGTCATTGTTTCAGATTTAGATACGTTTGACGGTGTGGCTAATGCGCTGCAGTATTGGTATTGTAATGGGATTCGATACAGCTTAAGTTTTCAATCGGACAATGCAGATGTTGTCGTATTGATGGAAGACAGATAATGCCTACTGAGCCGCCGAAGTAAAGTATGATTGGAATGACTTGATTGTCAGTTATAAAGGGATGATACAAATTTTTTTTTTTTTTTTTTGTTTCTTTGTTTTTTTGTTTTTTCTTTGCTTGTCGTGTTCGTTTAACTTTTGAAATTTTAGTTCCAGCGGCTAAATCAATATACACAAGCATAGATAACGACAATTTCACACTTGTATACACCTCTAACTTAAATCCTAGCTTGGTAGAAGTACCCTCCTTAGTGCCACCAAGAGAGAAAGCGGAATTCTCTTAGAAATGCAAAGTTTACTTCAGTTATCTTCACATTGTATATTCCCTCGAATTTCCACTCCTTGCTATAAACGATGATATTGCATTCATCTTATATATAATTATGATCTGTCTCCAACTCCAACAACTTCTCTTCATCATTTATATACTGCAAATACGTCTTCAAATCCTGTGTGTTGACCATATCAACAAACGAGCTTCTAAGGGACCGATTATCCAAATTGTGCAACAACCTACCACCTGCACTTGCACTTGCACCGCCACCGTCACCGCCGCCGTCACCGGTAGAATCCAAATTTTCCCGACAGGACGACTTATATATTTCTTGATCCTGAAACAGTGGCTTCAACCTTGTTGATTTGTACGAGCAATAACTGGCGTAATTGTAAATGGGCAATGTCTTTGTCAATTTAGATAAATCGAATTGTGCTTGATACAATTTCGCATCAGAATCATCAACTTTCGGTTCAATAGGCGAAACCAATGTCTTTTCGTCATCATTATTATCATCATCATCATATCTACCTCCATCTTTCTTATCGCTCACCGGTGAATTGACATTGTGTGCGTGGTTTCCACTCTGACTTTTCTTTTTGGCACTCTGTCTTGCAGTAATCTTTGAAGCAAGAAACGTTTTGATATTCTTGGGATTGTATTTACCACTGGCGCTGCGTCTCACTTGTTTTGCACCATTTTCTGAACCTCCATCCACGTTTTCCGTGTTCAAGTGATGCTCTAAATATGAAATCTCTTCACCACCAACAGCTTTGTCTGAATGTTTGGATTTACGACTTTCAAATGGGCTATAGTCAAACTGGATCGATAGGTCCTCAGCAGTTGACTGTTTAACTTGCAGTTGAATCCCCAGCTGCAATTGTTGTTGCAGTTGCAGTTGCAGTTGCAGTTTCTGCTTCAGCATCTGTCTCAGATTCATTTGTGGTTGCGGTTGTACCTGTTGGTGCTGCAACAGCAGTACCAGAGGGAAATACCGCGAGTTAGAATTCATGTTGAACTGAAACAACTCCGTTAATGATTGATACTTTCGAGGCACATACAATTCATTGTACCACTTATCGCCAGAATCCAGTCGGTGATCAACTCCTTCTTTTCTATTCAAGTTCTTACCCTTTCCCTCGTCCACCTTGATTTCAAAACGCTCATTTCGCAAATTGTCTCTATCGAACCAATGCGTATAACTTCTTTTACCCTTCATCTCCAAATCGAAATCAAAATGCAATCCAAAATCATTGCTCAACTCCCACAACTTGGGTTTATCCAAGGAATATGTATAATTACCCAAAAACAAATTTATAGCCTCTTGTCGTATAGAGTCCATAAACGAATTGGAATACATACGCTTGATACTGTTCAACATGTCCCTCGTATGGGACGACCACTGATTAATTCGTCGGTACGAGTCCATTGTGTTTACCAAATTCGAGCCACCATATTGTATCGCTATCGTATCTCCATGATCGTGGAATATCTCAGTCAAGATGTTGATCAAATCAGACTCGTAATCCAACGTCTTCCCCTCAGATATCAACTGCAAACTTCTCAATTGTATAGTGAGGGCTTCTTTACAAATAATAAACTGCGCCGCATTAGTTCGGTCTAAGCAATCGATACAATTTGTTCGAATGACCCCCTTTTGTAATCGTGTGGAATTTATTGTGGTCCCATTGTGGAATATTCCAATCTGATTGATGGCCCCATGGGCAATATTCTGCAATGGGGTAATCACATCCATATTCTTTTTGGAATTTTTCGACATATCAAATGACTTGTATCGTAGTTGGTTTTGTTCCGGTAAGAACTGATTGAGGTAGTTGACACAATTTATATATTGAACGTTTAATCTCAGTTCTCTTGGTTGCTTTTCCTTCTGCTTGATTAAATTTAGAATGATTATAGGTGATCCATACCTATAAAAAAGATTATCAAAGTGCAATGCTGAGCTCTGGTAGAACGGATCAGGTAAGTTGACTTGGATCGGCGGTTTGGGTAATTTATTCATATCTTGCGTCCAAAACAACGGAATCGATCCTCGATGCTGGACAAAACTGGTGTACCTTGGATTGCTATACATTCCGTATTTCGGATCATGGAAACTTGATGTCAACATGTCACTAACAATTTGTTCAGTTTCAATTTCATTGGCCACATTGCCCTTGTCATCAATGCCTCTTTTCAAGAATCGAGTGCCTGCGAAATGATGGGACCGTCGTGCGATGATGGTGATGTAGAACTTCCTTCCGTATATAGAGATGTTGGCCTGGTCAATGAAACCATGGACAACTGGTTGAAACCACTCAAATGTGGCAACTTCTTCACTTTCTAATACGGGTTTCAAAAGCAAATTATTCCAAACAAATCGTTCATCGCAATCAAAATTGGCGTATAGTTTATTCTGAATTTTGGCATTTTTATCACCACAGACGTTGTGCAACTTGTGTCGCATGAAATTCGTTTGCATCAGGTTTGTGATGTCATAGTTGTAACTAAAGTAAAAAGTCTTGCTCAAGTCCATGTACCGATACAATGAAAGGAGTTTTTCCTCATCACTGTACTTTTCGGGCCGTTTGTAATTTGTACCCAATGGGATCAATTTTGTTTCATCAATGTGATAAATGAAATGGCCTCCGAGTATCGCCACTTGGGAACATTTGGTGATTAAATTCAAATAGTACCCCTTGGTAAATCTGACTAATCCTAGTAGTCCAAACCCTTGCGCTAGCTTATGTAATCCACCTTCTACTGAATCATTTAGCCCATTGAGTAACTCAATCATGTCTTTACGAGTGTAAAAGTAACTCTTGTCCTCGATAATTGAAAGCAGCTGTTCATCTTCAACGTCCTTTGATATTTCCAAGATACGATACAATGACTCTTTGGCATTGGAGCCAACAATGTACATGGTTGATGATGAATTGTAAACAGTGAATCGCTGTAGAAGAATCCGTTTGTAGGGTCTAGTCCGTTCACTTCCACCTTCGCCTTGCTCTTCTTCGTCATCGTCATCGTCATCGTCATCGTCGACGTCATCACCACCATCATCACCATCGTTGTTGTTGGCATTCTCGCTTGTGACTGCGTTGTCGTCTTGTATTCCTTCTTCAAGAACTGATGCCTGGTTGTGTAGTGTACCTGGGATATCATCCATACTGGCGGTAATTATATCATTCTTGATGCCCTGATCCGTAGCACTAGTTGAGTCTTGGTTACTCATGTCTAGATGGTGAAATGTAACAACCTTTTGCCCTTGTGTTGTGTGTATCTATCAGTGCAGTGAAAACTGATCAATCTATGGCACAGAGATTTGATAACGTTTTTGTTTCACTAAAAGCTCTCATCCGTCATAACCAACAGGACTTCTTGCATTCTCAACTACAAAACAGACATGGCTTTGACTATACTTGACTTGGGCGAGGATATACTAACGTATGCCATTTCAAGGCATCTCTCACCCGACGACATATTCAAATTCTTCACTTTAAACTCTACACTATACAAACTATTTCAATCATCAGCAACCATTTACCAGTTGCTCTATAATAAAAAGTTTACAAACAACGAAAACAACTACACGCTTAACTTACAGCAACATCTCAATTGGAAGCAGCTATGGCAACTAAGGTGCAACATCAATCAAGAAGTCTTTACTTGGGGCGAGAGTAATGGGGGACGATTGGGATACTTGTCCACGAGAATTGATCAGTCACATGTCCTGAGGAAGTTGGGCGGTTGGTCAGTGCACACCCCGACCAATGTACCTGAGTTTAATCGACACCTCATTGTAGATCTCAAGGCGAATGGGTACAGCTTTATCATATTGTTGAACAATGGTGAGTTGTGGTTTACCGGCATGGATTGGAAACGCCCTCAACAAGGATTATCGACCCCTGGGCCAGTAAGAGCCAAAGATTACAAGCCTAATCCTGGGACAATGGCATTAAGTAGTATGAACAACAATGTTGACGACAATGTTGGAGGTAGAAGAGGTATAAGACCTGGCACATTTGCTGGAGGTCGCGGTAGATTCGGTGTGATGCCCATGCCGATGCCGGGAAGATTTACCGATGACGACGAGGAAGACAGTGATGAGGGTGTCATTGGTGGTAATGGTGGTAATGGTGATACTCCACAGGAGGGATCAAGCGGGGCCAATGCGGCTTCACCAGGAGCTTCGTCGTCGCTGTTGCCACAGTCGAGGAGAATGCTCCAACCAAGCGACACTAGACCTAAATTGAGACATGCGCCTTCCAAGATACAAGAGACGAATTTCTTATCCCGGATGTTTCTTCCACCGGTAAATGGGCCAGATGATCGAAAAATCATTTCCATCAGCACGGGACGCGAGCACATTGTTGCTTTAGATGATAAGAATAACGTATACACGTGGGACACAGGATGCAACTCAAATATTGGTATCCATGTCCAGTTTCCTGGTATACCGGAAAGCGTCAGCGTGGTTAAGGTTTCAGCTGGCTGGAACTTGTCTGCATGCCAAGTAGATGGTGTGGGGCTAGTTGTATGGTACACAAGAGAGCCATTGACTAAGGAACAATTTGACCAACAGAATTATCAGAGTAATGTTAAGTACCTGGTCATACCTGGAACCGAGAACAACGTGGTTGATTTCACTGTTGGTGCTGACTATGTATTATTCATCAAAAAATCCGATTCCAAATTGTACCAATTCAGATTGCATGCCCAGGATTTTGCAACAAGAGATAATGAGCGATTGGATGCCAATGATTTGAAACTGATGATTACCCCTCTTGACAATTTCAACAATTGGCTCGCTCAGCAGGAAGCAAGCATTGAATTTACACGGTTGAATAGTTGTTTCACAAACTTTGTCGTGTTTACCAATCACGACCAAGTTTTGATTGGGTCAAATGCTCACTTACTTTACAATATCAATGACGAGACTCAGGAGCAAGGAAAGGTTCCGGTTTTAATACCCGATTTGCAAGGACAGAATATCAAGTCGGTTGAAATTGGCGATTACCATTATTTGGCATTGACAAACGATGGATCTGTACTTAGTTGGGGAACTGAATCACGCTCATGTGGGTGTTTGGGTATTGGACCAAGAGAATTGGCGGCAGCTGAAAACCCTGAGACTGTTGTTGAGCACGGTGCAAACTTGGAAGTTAAACTGCCCTTGCATGTAAAGAAACCAAAGGGCAACAGGGTCCATGGTAAGTGGGTTGCTATTGCTGCTAGTGGATGGCAATCGGGTGGTATATACGTTCCACTATATGATTGAGAGTTGGGTTGTTTGACTGGTGACGTGCAAAGTGCTGTTTGAGAGACGATTGCGCAGACTATATAGCATGAGTAAGTAAGAGAGAGGGTATATTAACGGGAATGACTCTGCTGTCGAAGGCAACTTGGTGGCAGGGTGGAGGAGGAGGGGGAGGAGGCACTTCTCTTTGGATTGTTTGCATGTGTCATGTGATACATGCGGCTCTTTCCTAAGTGGGAACAGTAACAAATTTTTTTCCTACTACAGAGATTCCGTCAAAAAACACACATCACAACTACTACAACGATAGTCAACAATTCAATTCAATCTTTACAGACTCAGATCCATCAATGTCATCTACAGCTAACACTGTCTACGGTGGTGATGAAATCAATGCTATTGTGCTAGACATTGGGTCTTTCAACATTCGTATAGGCTATGCCGGTGACGATTTTCCAAAGATCATAACACCGTCCTCCTACGGGCAATTATCAAGTGGTGCCAAAGTGTTTGGAGAGAGCATCAATGTGCCACGCAAGGAAGCGTTTGAAATTAAGCCAATAGTTGAAGACTCGTTAATTGTTGACTGGGATGCTGCATTTGAGTTGTTTGCAAATTCCTTCAAGCAATTAAAGATTATAGAAAAGGAACAACCAATCTTAATCACCGAACCTGTATGGAGCACCAATGAGTATAGGACGAAATTGATTGGTTTGATTTATGAGAAGTTTGAATTCCCTGGTTTGTATTTGGCAAAAGTACCGTCGTGCGTAAGTTTTCAACAGGGCAGGGCTAATTGTTTAGTTGTTGATTTGGGACATGAAAGTATCAGCGTGACTCCAGTTGTTGACGGAATCTGTTTGATTAAGAGCTCATTGAAGGTTCCGTACGCTGGTAAGTTTTTGAACCTGATCATTGAGGATTATATAACTAAAGAAGGAATCGTCGTTGAGCCTAGTGTTTTCATCAAGAGCAAAACGGCAACTTCTTTTCCCGAGGATAAGGAAGCGAAGTTTGAATTGAAGGACAACGCATCGAGTGTGAGTGATCTGTTCAAGCAGTATCAAATTGCAAGAGTATGGCACGAGTTTAAAGAGTCAATGTTGGAAGTGCCATCACAAGAAGCAAAAAAATTACTTGCAACCGCGTCGTCACCGGAAGCTTCTTCAAACACCACATCCGAGTTTGCTAAACGATCATTTGAATTACCCACGGGCCAATCTATAACGCTTGGACAAGAGCGATTTGAAATTGCCGAGACGTTATTTGATCCCGGTTTCTACAAATTTTACAAGCCTTCTTCACAACCACCCCCTTCCAATGGTGAAATCCCGGGGATTGAATTCAACACCATCAACGAATACCGACCAGTGAAGCGCATTCGCAAGAATGAAGATGGTGCCGATGGAGCTAATGGGAAAATTGAAGTACGTGGCGTGGCTCAATTAGTCACCCAAGTGATTTCAATAATAGATATCGACTTGCGTGCATCGTTGGCTAACAATATAATTGTTACTGGAGGTACGTCATTAGTGACGTCGCTTACAGAACGATTGTACCATGAACTACTGAATAATAACCCGGGGTTGAAAGTCAGATTGCACGCAGTGGGGAACTCGTTAGAGAGAATTAATCAGTCTTGGATCGGTGGAAGTGTATTGTCAAGTTTGGGCACTTTCCATCAAATGTGGGTTAGTGAAAAGGAGTATAAAGAGGAAGGGTCCGAGAGGGTGTTGAACCAACGGTTTAGATAGAAGGAGTGGAACATATTGTGTTAGAGATATGTAAAAGTATAGCAGATGTTAAAAAAGGGGCCAAAATTTTTTTTTTGGCTAAAATCATTGAGAGGTGGTCGTAGTCGGGGTCCTGCCAACTTCTTATAGGATTACAATGTAACAAGAATCCTAATGTAGCTATATCTTCACCGTATGGTGCATCAACTGTACGTTACAAAGTTTGAGGCCATATGTATGATGCATGCATGGCGGGGTAGACGGAGTCCTCCTGAAAGTGCTTGCTCTTGTTTTTGATGCACAAATTCTTAAAAATAAATCAGGCGTCTAAAACTTATTGTTTTGTGGCTCCTCATAACATTAATCAAAATTGTTGTTGGGATAATAGTAATCTCTTCCTGATACCGTCACAAATTTCCCCAATCCGGACCACTGTTGATTCCAGTAATAAACGCAGATATATAAAACATATAATAAATTATAGGTCTTTGTATATCACCCTTACCAGTACAGACCAATTGCACTCATCCCACATCAACCAACAATGTCCACCACCGATTCCAAAAACAATAGAGATTTAATCAAGGGGGTTCTTGACTTGGACCCTTGGTTAGAGCCATTTTCAAAAGAGTTGATTGACAGACAGGTGAGCTTCCGTGACTGGCTCTCCAAGCTTGATTTAAGCGAGGGGTCGTTATTGCATTTTGCTGATGCATACAAGACGTATGGATTGCATGCAAGAGCAAATGGTGACGGGTACAAGATTGTTGAGTACATTCCCAATGTTGAGCAAGTTAGTTTAGTTGGCGATTTCAACAACTGGAATGTCGAATCACATCAATTGAAACAAGTGAATAATTTTGGTCGTTGGGAATTGGAAATAAAAGGCGATGGTACGATTCCCCATGATTCAAGATACAAGATTGCCATGAAGTTGCCGGATGGCGAGTGGATTTATCGATTAGATCCTTGGTGCCAAAGAGCAACTTTCAACAAGGATGATAATTTGTACGAGGGAAGGTTTTGGAACCCGCCAGCTTCGGAGGTGTACCATTTCAAAAACAAAAGACCAGTGTTATCACAAGGTATCAAAGTTTATGAAGCCCACGTGGGAATTTCTACTCCTGAGCCCAAGATTGGAAGTTATAAGAGCTTTACCAAGAACATTTTGCCCAAGATTCATGAGTTGGGATACAACACCATCCAATTGATGGCGATTATGGAACATGCATATTACGCATCGTTTGGGTATCAAATCACCAGTTTCTTTGCCGCTAGTTCAAGGTATGGAACTCCAGAAGAATTGAAAGAGTTGATTGATGCTGCGCATGGCTATGGAATTAGAGTCTTGTTGGATGTTGTGCATTCACATAGTTCCAAAAATGTTGCTGATGGGTTGAATATGTTTAATGGGACCGATCATTACTTGTTTCACGGTGGAGGTAAGGGGAACCATGACTTGTGGGACTCACGTTTGTTCAACTATTCAAACTATGAAACGTTGAGGTTTTTGTTATCCAATTTGAAGTTTTATCTCGATGTTTATCAATTTGACGGTTTCAGATTTGACGGGGTGACTAGTATGTTGTACAAACATCATGGATTGAGCTTTGGTTTCAGTGGAGACTACAATGAGTACTTTAATGAAGAGTGGGCAGATAATGAAGCCATTGCATACTTGATGTTGGCTCACCAGTTGATGAAGGATGTAAGTAAAAGGGAACACATTGAAATTACGTCAATAGCAGAGGATGTCTCGGGTATGCCTACATTATGTCGTCCGATTGACGAAGGTGGTATTGGATTTGACTATAGACTATCCATGGCTATACCCGACATGTGGATCAAGATTTTGAAGCATCAAAAGGATGAAGACTGGGATCTTGGCAATATTGTCCATACATTAACCAATCGTCGTCACGCAGAAAAATGCATCAGTTATTGTGAATCGCACGATCAAGCTTTGGTTGGAGACAAGACGTTGGCTTTTTGGTTGATGGATAAGGAGATGTACACCAATATGTCGAAACTTACTGAATTGACACCAGTTATTGATCGAGGATTAGCTTTACATAAAATGATCCGTTTGGTGACCTTTGCGCTTGGTGGAGAAGGGTATTTAACATTTGAAGGAAACGAATTTGGTCATCCTGAGTGGTTAGACTTTCCTCGTGCCGGTAATGGGGAATCGTACCATTACGCCAGAAGACAATTCAATTTGATTGATGATGACTTGTTACGGTACAGATTTCTTTTTGATTTTGATGCGGCAATGCAGCATTTGGATGTGTTGGATTCACCACAAGCTTATGTATCGTTGAAACACGAGCAAGATAAGGTGTTGGTGTTTGAGAGGAATGGGTTGTTGTTTGTATTCAATTTCAATCCAACACAATCTTTCACTGATTACAAAGTCGGTGTTGAGGCTGCTGGAAAGTACGAAATCATTTTGAATTCAGATGACGCCAAGTTTGGTGGGCATGACAGAATCAAAGATCCCGTGCCTGGTAAGAAGCAAGAATTTTTTACAGAGAACGACCCTTGGAATAATCGATCAAACTCATTGATGGTGTATATTCCAAGCAGAACCGCCATCGTTTTGAAAAAGGTGGATTAAAATAGATCTAGAATCAGCACAAGTTAAAAAAGAAAAATCATTTAGTCTTTAGATTAGGATTAAACTAGACACTTAAAGGATCCTTTTGGTAAATCCTTTGAGAAGGGGAGAATAAATAAATTGTTAAAAAAAAAAAAAAAAAAGGTGCTGAATTGTACGAGTGGTTAACTTAGAATCTCTGCGTGGACAATCAGTATGCACCAATCTCTTTATATCTATTAATCTAATCTGTCGGTTTAAAAGTATCACCACAGCCAATGAGTACAGTCTAGTAGCGATGGTGTGGAAAAAGCGCAAATTGCTCTGATGAGTGAATGGAATTGGCGATGATGGTTGTGGAAACGCAAAATGAAAAAAAAAACCAAAACATAAACAAAGTTTAAAGTGTAAACAAACACAACTCACAACACAACATATAAACCACTACACATCCACACACATCCACACACACACAACAATAGAGATGGAGTTGTTACAGTTGGGTAAGAGGTCCAGAAAGTTGGGGCTCACAATCAAAGCAAATCTCCATCGAGATGAATACGGAATGGATGATATGGATGAGTTTTTTGCTGATGACACACAAGCACAAATCATGCTCAGAGAACAGGATGAAAGAGTACTACGGCAAGGAGAGGTATACAAGTCACCCACATCGTATAACGTAACTACCCGGATGGGTCGTTTTGGTAATTTTGGCGGTGCTACTACTATAACAGCAGCACCAAAAGCCACATCTACACGATATGGTCTCCAACAGGGAACTGGAGGTATACCGCCTTATGACTCTGGGTTTGATGTTGAAGACATTGGTAATGACTATGCACTGGAGAAGGAAGATCAGTCACCTTTTAACTATGTTGCAAGAAAAATTGATTTTGATAATGGAGAAGACATGGGAGGTGGGCCCGGGGGTGAGCAAAATCAAATGCTCGGTGTGAACAAGCAGTCACCCTTGCGCTCACCATTGCCTGAGCAGCGGCAAGGAAGTTCCTTGGGCGCATCTCAGAGGGACAATTTTCTTGACGATGTAGATGATTACGACTTTGCGCAACAAGACGACAACTACTTTGATCAGGACCAGGAACTACGCCCGGAAGACAGTCAAGGATATGACCCTGGATCAGGACAGCAGGATGATTACGATCTGCGTCTGGTTTCTCCACCACCACCACTATCACCACCACAACTACCACCGCCACAACTTGAGCGGTCAGTCAGAGCCCCAAGATCATCCAGACGTCTTGACCAAAGAAGTAAGAGGCGAAATAGTTTCTCCGAACTGGATGAGAGTACGCAGGCCTCTGTGTCTGCATTTATTGAAGACACTAAAGATACAGATGAAGATGACGAGGAAGTCACTGATGCAGGTGGTTCAACTACAACCGAACTTTTTGTCAGATCACCTTCAACAGATCAAAGTCAGAGCCAGAGCCAGAGTCAACCTAAAAGAAAGAAACGGAGCAACAGATCACAACCATCAGGAGGCACAAGCAACATGTCACCCACCTACATCACAGAGGTGCCCACTTTACCATCCCCGCCTCCAGAAGGATTACGAAGATCGAAACGTATTCGAATTAAACCGTTGGCATTTTGGAGAAATGAGCGTATCATATTTACCAAACCACATCAAAAACGGCCAGATGAGGAGAAATCTGATGATGATGATGATGATAACGATGAGCCGGATATGACTATTGTACGAGATGTCCACAAGTTGCCATTGAGATCAATTGCCGAAGTTGTCCATGTACCTGACACAGTAGAGTTGTTGAGCACACGACAGAATCGAAGAAACAGAAGACGCAAACTCGCTGATGCACCCATATCGCCAATCAGTTCCGATGAACATGATCCAGAAGAACAAAATGTCTTGCAGTCGGGGTTGCCGGGCACGTCATGGTACAAGGATAAAGTGTTGAAGGTAAATGTGCCTGAGAATGGAAAATTTATTGAACGATCAATTGCAGTCAGTTCACAGTATACAGATTTCAAATCAAACTTGGTGTTACACGAGGATGGAACTACCTCAGAAGACCCAAATTTGAGAATTATGCATTTGTTTAGTAACATGGTTGACGATTGTGCTGTTGGTATGATGGAGTTGATCGGAACCAAACCGCCATTGTACATCTCATCAAGTAATTACTACTTGCTTATAGTCAAGGGAATAGTTGAGGTAACATTCAATGAGGAGACCTTTATTGCTAACAAAGGGTGCAATATATGCATACCCCTGGGCAACGAGTACGGGATGAAAAATTTGGGCAAAGAGCCTGCTCTTATTCACTTTGTGCAGGTTAGGAAACCAGAGACAGAAGACGGCGACGATGGGGGCGATGAGGACGATGAGGACGATGATAGTGATCTTTTCGGTGCAAGACAAGAGAAGGGCGATAATGAAGGTGCTTTGTGATAGGAGGAATAGAGTATTCTATGTTGTGGCTTGGTCCATTTCGGTGGGGTGGCAGGCGGCATTGACTGAAAAAAAAAAATAAAAAGAAGTACTTCAAGTGCAATCTTGGTTCTGCTTGTAGTTGTTGACCTTGTTGTTGCAACACCGTTGTTGTGGGTTTTATTGTTGTACCTTAAAATAAATAGTAAACTCACACATTGACAAATGTAGAGTTTCATTGTTGATTCTGATGGGAAATCGAATGCCTGTAGATAACTCTCATACACACCCTGTTGCATATTGTTCCACCCTGCTTCTTTGTTACTATGAAAACATGTAACAATTCATTGTCGTGAAAATATTACCAAGTGTTGCAAATTCAATGTGTTAATCTTATTATTCACACATTTGAATTGTATAGTTTATATATACAAGAACATGATTTATCATCCTACATAAATCATTTGTATAGTTTTCTAGAGGATAACCACGTATCATATTACAATTTTAATACATCTACTTTTAGATTATTGATACCAATCAAATTTAAGGAGTACACACATAACAAATCATTCAGACGATCTCAGTTGAGGTTCCCACATTAAGCCATACTACAGTATATCGTCATACTTTGGCAAATATACGAAAGTTAACTAAAGATCAAGAGGACACAATACAGTTAAAAGTAAACAAAATAGAAAGAGTGCTTCAACTCTCCTAGTCTTTCAAACTTTAATTGTCAAATTTTTCAACCTTGCTTGATTCTTTACTGTAATGACCCACCAACGGAACTTTAAATTCACTAGCGGCAACACCAAACTGTTTCAATATCAAGGCTTGTCTAACGTCCAACACATCTCCTTCATTGCACACCAAGTATGGCTTTTCCAAAACAATCTTCCCACTCTTGATCTTTGTGGGCATCTTGTACTTATTCCTCAACGTTTCCTCCAACGAATGTGACATAGGGACATCTTCTTCCTCGGGAATTTGTCCGCCTCTTGAGTAAACTATACCGGCAGGAATTTCGAAAGTTATAGGCGACTTATTCTTGACTCTGGTATAGTCTTGTCTTTTGTAAGCATCGAAATAGCTCTTTACAGTTGAATCGTCCTCGTTGGTGAATAAAATACCCGGGATCAAATCCTCAGTAGTGGATAAGATTTTGGTCAATTTAGCCAATTCCGACAAATACTCTTCTTCAGGGGTCTCACCGAATGCCTTTTGAATAACTTTCCGTTTGCCCAAGATAAGCTTTGAGTCAGTCCAGTCTGACCTTATATCTTGTAGCACGGGAGTCCTGATATCTTTCAATTGTAATATCCAAACCTGGGAATAATTGTCAAGAGCAGATCTGATCTCATCAAAGAGTTTCAATTTGGATTCTTTACCCTTTTTATCAGTTTGTGATAATGTCACTAACTTGGAGCGTCTGGATTTGGGCATACTTCTTTGGTGGTAACACTGATATACTGTAAGAAGAAGGTAAGAAAGGCGTGAATATTTCTGGTGGAAAAACGGGTGATGAGCATCGCTGGTGGAAGTTTTTTTTTTTTTTTTTCGCTTTTTTTCTTTGTTTAGAAGCAGAGAACGAAGGGGGGGGGGGGAGGAGGGGCGAAAAGAGCTTCACACTAACGTGAATTCAACCCCAATTGCTATGTTATTGGACTCAGTCGGATGGGGAGGGAGATTCTGCTTTGGTGTAGATAGAGAGTAAGCAACTTTCTTGGCTCACTGTTCAACATTTGTGTGCTTGTTGTAAATTTGAGAGGTAGAAAGTGAAGGTTTCAGCGGGGTACAAATGATCCAATATGATGAGTTGGTAGTCTCAGTTGTCTGGACACAACACTCCTCAATTCGCATTGCCGCCCTCTTATACGTGTATTCCATTTTGTTGGCCTACCCCAGATCTTATAGAGTTTGAGGGGAAACTTGCGAGTATAGACAAGTTCTCTTCCCTATTGTCGCACAATAATCTCTCATGGTCTAGCTACACAACTGCCTCTTAACGCTACATGGCCAATTAGCTTTGGCAATTGTAGTCCGTACTGCTCTAAAACTCAATAGGGATGAAACACGGGGGGACTCTCTTCGTTGTATGATTCTTCTGTGTTGGGACCTCTCTTTGACGCTAGAAAAAAAAAAAAACCATTTTGCCTACTCCTCCTCGTTAATGGCTTCAACTATATAGAGCACCTCAATACCCCCTCATCTATCAACTTTATACCACCACAAACAATGTCACTTAGTCTATTCAAGGTAAAACAAACGTATTTTGACAAACTATTCAAATCGGGCACAACCTCGACAGCTTCCGCAGCCTCCTTCTCCAATAACAATGCTGCCAACAAAAAGATCCCCAAGGTGCTACTTCTTGACAATATTACCACATCAATCACATCGCTATCATACACCCAATCACAGCTTTTATCCAATGATATCATCTTGATCGAATTGATTGAGAATTATAAGCAGTTGTCGACAATGAAACACTTGGAATGCATTGTTTACATCAACCCAAATCCAGCATCGATCAAAAGCTTACTTGAAGAGATGAAGTCGCCTCATTTCCGCAAATACCACATATATTTCAATAATGTTGCCGGAAAGAATGATATTGAACAATTGGCAGTGGCTGACGAGTACGAAGCTATAGATAGGGTACTTGAAATTTTCCAAGATTATTACATCTTGAATGACGAGCTATACTTGAACAATACACTATCGTCCAAAGCCAGCGTCAACCCAGTGTTGGAACAGGCCAAGAGCTTGTCTAGTTTACTTTTGGCTTTGAAAAAGAGTCCCATTATCAAGTTTGAGTCGAATTCGATTGAGTTGAAAAAACTTAGTTCGGAGTTGTTATACATTATAAATTCGAATTCCAACAACAACTTGTTTGATGACTTGAATCTGCGGTCAGATACACCACCAGTGTTGTTGTTGCTTGATCGGAAGAATGACCCAATCACCCCGATTTTGACTCCATGGACTTATCAATCAATGATCCATGAGTTTTTAACAATTGATAAGAATGTGGTTAGTTTACCTGACAATCAGGTAGTTCTTTCCCAGCAGGATGATTCTTTCTATAACGAGTCGATGTTTTTAAACTATGGGGATTTGACAAACAAGTTTCAGAAATATGTTGAACATTACAAGACTGAAACTAAGCAATCATCAATTGATAATTTAAAACTGCTGAATTTGGCCGAGTTGAAAAAGACATTGACCAAGTTTCCCGAGTACAAGAAGATCTCCGTTAATATATTGACTCACTTGAACTTGATCAGTGGTATTGATGAGCAAATCTCTAAGCAACAGTTGTGGGATATTGGTGAACTACAACAAACGATTATTTGCGATTTAGACAGCCAACTGGATATCAGAAACAAAATGATTCAAGTTTTGGAGAATAGGGCCATATCTACTGTGAACAAGATCAAATTGGTGTTGCTTTACAGCTACAAGTTCCATAATCCAGCTGACTTGTCATTATTTATCAACAAATTGGAAAATGAAACGGTGACATCACCATTGCCCACTCAGCTGCAATTGGATTTGATAAAAAAATTCACCACGTTGTTCAAATCGCATGATCTGGCACTCGGTGGTTCATCTCCAGACGCAAATGGCCAACTCCAAAACAACCGTCAAGGCTTGTCGAATTTATTCACCAATAAGAAAGTCAACATCAACAACTTGTTTAACCGAAACAGTTCCAATCACTCAGGTAGCGAGAATGTGTACCTCCTGTACACGCCAAGATTGAACCAAATTTTGACTAGTTTGATCAAACATGATTCTGCCGCAGCAGCTCAACTGACGTCATCCGCGCACTTGTCTACTTTGTATCCAGAAGTGGTGAAGAAACAGTATGGTGACACATCTTTGGATGCAGTCCAAGACTTGATCATTTATTTCCAAGGTGGTGTAACATATGAAGAATTGCGGTTGGTGCATGAGTTTAATCAAGCTGGAAATAGAAAGTACAATATAATCATTGGTGGTGACACAATGTTGAACAGTGATCAATGGTTGACGAAAATGTACCAAATGGTGTCTAAAACAAGCAAGAGCGATCAATCTGAAATCGAAGATTTTGCTACTTCAAGTCAAGACCGACAAGCACAACTACGTGAAATTTTATAATAAAAACTAAGTAATACAGAGAAGTACTAAAGCTGGCCCTTTTCGTCACTCTATGGAGCATATTTACCAAATCGAATCTCCCATTCGTTAATCTTGCGTTGTAGATCATCAATCATCATTAGCTTATCGTTATAACTAGCTTCCAAAGCCAGCTTCTCCTCCAGTATAGCTTCCGAATCAGGTGTGAATGAAAACAACTCAAACTTGTAGTTTCGCTCTTGTTGCAAGTCATATTGTGTTCTTGCTATCCACTCAATAATGGCACTGGTACGCTTGCGCAAGTCATAGATGGATGATTGAGAATTGACAAAGCGAGGCTTGTAAGGAGCATTTATCAATTCGTCCTTACTTGCTTGTGCTGCTGCTGCCGCCGCCGCAGCAGCAGCCGTTGTTGATGTTGCCGAGGAGGACGAAGGAGAATTTGCCTTGCCACTACCGGTGGTTGTGCTGCTGTTGCTGCTCTTTGCTGGGTTTGTTGAGAAACCCTCACGCTTCTTTTTGCCATTACTCTTGTTTCGTGATTTTCGCAAGTCAGCCGCCACTCTTGCATTAGTGCTGGATTTGTTACCACCTGCGCCGCCTGCTGTCGACCCACCAGTCTCTGAATCCTCGTCTTCATACTCTCGCTTTAATGACAGATCATTGTCAGCTTCAGAATTGGCACCAGAAACACCACGACTAGTCCTCTTTCTCGGCGAATAGTGATCTCCACCAGCACCACCAGCACTAGCACCTCCTCCTCCTCCCAACGCGGTTGCATGGGTTCCAGTCGATACTGTACCAGTAGCATCAGATTCATCCACTGGTAATCCCGACTCCTTTGCACTCTCTCTCAACGCTTTGCGTAATTGCTCATCATACTCATCTTCATCCAGGTGGTGATGATGGGTGCGTCTATCTTTCCGTCGATCCTTACTCTGGGTGGTTGTAGCAGTGGTATTTGCGTTTGTGGTTGGAGGAGATACTCGATCTACTCGTCTTCGTTTACTGCCACTACTATTATCCATGGACTCCACTTTGATTCCATTGCCGATACCAAACAGTTCAATCTTCTTCCTTTTGTCGTTAACAGGTTTGTACAATGTCCGTTTCAGGTACCCATCCCCCTTCACAAATAGGTGATTTTCTGGTTTACACAATTCGCACCAATATAAATCAGGAACATCATCATTGGTGAATAAACCAACACAGTATCCATGTTGCCAAACGCCACATTTCTCACAACTAATAAACAAGCCTTGGTCAATATTGATTTTGTAATTTCTCTTCAAAAACTGGGCAAATTCAGGATTGATTGAATCCGACTGGAGTTCATCTTGTTTACATATACATCGAGTGATTTCTCCATCTTCGTCTTCCTCGTCGGCTTCGTCTCCTCCTTCTTCCAAGTCATCCTCCTCCTCCTCCTCTTCTTCTTCACCTCCCCCTTCGTTCCCGGCTGCTCCTATGCGAGTAACTCCTCTGGCATCGTCGACTTCGGCATGTGCTCTTCCACGTTCTGGCTTGATTGGCTTTGTGTCGGTGCTAAGTGACCTTCTGCGAGTTCTGCGAGATGACATGTGTGGTGTATGTCAGTGTGGTGGTTGTAGTTAGAAGTTATGAGGTGATACGTTTGACCAATGTAGTGTTTGATAATTGGATATAGTATATAATGAGACAGTAGATGTTGTTACTGATGATGGATTTTCTTCCTATCGAATAAGTCGTGTCCAAACTTACAAAACAAAATCAATGTCGAGAAAATAATATTGTCAGTGTCATAACAACTGGAACCACGACATACAATAATATTGTTGCACAGATTGCCACTTCTTTTTGCCATTTCGCAACCTCTAAATTTGGAAACCACACCCAAATCAACACAAGCTACAGCCATGTATCAAGTCTATATAACATAAATACATACACACACACACACACCCGCGTTGTCTACCTTTCCTTTGTTGCTTTGCCCCGAAACCCTCCCTCACAACAAGCTTTTCCAATTCCCCCAACCCTCCCTCACAAAACATAAACCAACCAAAGCATCACAACCAAAATAAACGAGACCCATCCCATAAGACTGAAGCACCCACACACACACACACACACACACACACACACACACACACGCAAATAACACAAATAACACATACAACACATACACTCGCGCATTCCCTCACTCCCTCGCTCCTGAGCTCCCCATACACTATCTTGCTCCACTAGACTACTCACATGCAGAATGAGTGAAAGAACAAAAAAAAAAAAAAGGTCAATATTCCATTTTGTTTAGATAGATCAATTGGTTGTTGGATAGCTTTTTCGTGGCGATGAGACGCGCCCTGCGCAGCCCCAGTACTCACCCGTTGAAATGTGGTTGTTGCTTGCAATATATAATTTCAAAAAGCCAATTACATGTGAGCAGCGATGTGACTAGTGGTAGTGTAGTAGAAGGCGGAGGCGGGTGGTTACAGAGAGCGGAGGATGTGGCGAGGTGCAAGGCGTGGTCGTGCGACAACTGAGATGTTGGCTTGTTTCAGGCAAACGTGAATCCCGCAGTATATGAAGTGATGGGTTGTTTGTGGTTGGTAATTGGATCATCTGTTGCTACCTGCTTGCAACAAAAGTGTTCTTAGGACGTTCTGGTTTCTAGTTGTCATAGCTTCAAATCAACAGTCTAATCTGCTTCGGAAGAAGCCAGCTCAACAGCAACTTTCTCCTTGTCAACAACATACTTCCTCAGATGCTTGTCTGCGTCAACAACACAAGCCATTATAATTTTATCAACGTCATCTACTTCCATCCCTTCACTGACACCTATAATATATCGGAGCGTATGAATGTTTGTGGTCACCTAAGTCTGGTGTGGAAGCATGTCTCTTCGGGAAATGAACTTTTGTTTCAGCATATGTGTAGTTGATTTTGTTAATGGGTAACCAAAATTCAGCTAGCTCTGCCATGTATTTGACGTGGTTTCACTTTAGATAATGCTTAGACTTGCCCTGTTGGGACATTGGTTCTGATACGATAGTGAACTTTAGTTGGTTGAGTTGTCCGTTTAGAGTGGACCGTAGTTTGAGTGCACTGGCAAACTTCATCGTAAGTGATTGAGGGGTTGCAAGTTTGTTTTTGAGAAAGCAAAGTTGGTTACTGTAAACTGGTGGGAGAAGGAAAAGATGGAAAGAGAGTCACAATTATTGAAGCAGTTGGGTAATTTATGGGGGGTTTATATAGTGTACTTACTCCTTAGTGGTTGTTATTTTGAGTGTGATTAACACATCAACCCATCAACACATACCCACACGAGTCACCAAATTACACAGAAATGAATGGCTGCAGATGAAAAAAACACATACACAAACAACCCACATCCTTCACTCATCACGTAGTGGGTGAATTGCGACACGTAACCTGTGTTACTCATAAACAGCCAAAAGGTTAAAGATGCATTCACACAGGGAGATATCAGAGCTGAAGACATTCTGTCCCACGCTCATCACCTCCACATTGACCACCTAAAGAGGTGCTTTACAATTTCGTGTTGGTGCGTGTTTTGGTGGCCCATCACCCTCACAAGCTTGCAACACACTGTTTGCGAGATTGTGTAATGCAAAATTCTAAGCAGTATGGACTGGTCAACTCTAGAGTTCCTATAGCAGATCCCTCGATGTCACTCTAACGCTAAATTTAATCTAGAAACTAGTCTAAATAATATATATATGTATATATATATATAAATATATAAAAGCTAAGAAAAATATGTAATCAATAACAACAACAGGCCCAAAAGCCATAGATCTTTCCCTACAATTTATGACATTGTCTCATCTAATGTCCAACTTGCAAAGTGTGGTCCCTATCATAAATACCCCTGTTTCTAATATACGGATCCAACTGAATATAATTCTTGGACAAGGCAATATTCAAATCCAACTTATCCTTCAAGTACCGATCACTAACTTGCGGATTAGTCGACTCGATCCATCTCCTAGTAGTTTCGAAAAACCTGGTAAGCAAAATATCTCTCTCCCTCTTCAATCTCGCATACTCTGCATCTTTCCTCTTTGGAGGGAACTCATCCAGCGGTTCGGGAATAGGGTAAAAGCCTCTAGTCGTGTCCTCACCACCAAGATAATCTGGGATCAAAGTCGGGTCAATAAACTTGCTCAACTCCTTGGCATCTTTAGTGAAGTGGATCTTGGACGCAACAACAGGGTCCAACCAGTTCTTGATGATGTTCCACACCGTAGAGAAGATCCATGGCGCATTGTGGATCAAAATGAATCCCAACGTCTCCGGGTAGTGAGCTTCAAACACATCAGCAAGGAACTTGATGGTGGCGTAATCGGCATTCTTTAAGGAGAATCCAGTCAAGTCAAACACAATCGTACATGTGTCGACTGATTCGCTAACTTCTCTCAAAAACAAACGCACCCATTCAATAGTGACAACGGCATATCTCTGGTTCTGTGGCAATGGCGAGTCTGAAGTCAAGTGTTTCTTAGCTTGAAACATGAAAATTGGGTTATTGTTTTTATCTCTACCTTTGATCCATGACTTCTCAGTAGTGAAGTTCTTGATGAACCCCTTGTTGGTGCCGTTCAAGTAGGACGGACCATCCGACTCCATCAACCAGTCATCGGTAGGGAACTCATGGTATCTCCAATTCAACGATTTGTACATCATGGCCAATGCCTTTTCAGTGTCCCATTTTCTGGCTCTGATGAATTTCAACACCAAGTTATCAACTAAATCGTTACGCATGACTTTGGTCAATGCTTGATGGATCTCCTTGGCGTTGTATTGACCCAAGTGAGAATAAAACGAACTGTCTGATTGAACGCTGATTGGGTTGTTGACGGTTGCTTGGAAAAGATCAATTTGACCACCACCACCACCACCACCGTTGGACAAGTGTTGCTGTTGACCATACTGTTGTTGTTGGTAGTGCGAGTTTTGACGATGCTTGTTGTGCTTGTTGTGTCTGTTGTGGTGGTTTCCACGGTGCTTGTTGTTGTTGTTGTTGTGGGAAGGATGTCCAATTCTGCCACCGTAGTTGCCTCCGTGTGACTGTTTGCCAGAACTGTTGAAGATGTGAGATGGCAAGTCGTCGTAATCAGTCAATGTGGTTTCAGCAGTGACAAAAGTTTCCATTGAATTGACTGATGCGACATCATCGTCATCATAATCATCATAGTCGTTGTATCCACTGCCATTGGCACCGGGAGCGCCACCAGCGCCACCAGCGGCAAACCCGTTCAACTGTTGTTGTTGTTGCTGTTGTGGAGCAGCAGAACTACCATCAAAATCGTCAGCATATTCAAATGCAGACTTGAAATGGTGAGCATAGATGGCATAATAAATCTCACTTGGAATATCGACCGGCTGGTATCTCTCATGGGAAGATTGAGTCTGGATTTGATGCATTCTCTTGGAATTAGCAGGTGGCAGACCAGTTGAAGCACCAGCACCACCAGCATTAGAGACGCTAGCATTTGAAGACTTCTTTGAACCAAACAATCCCATTTTCTTCTTTGATGCTGATGATTTGCTAGAGTTGATTGAGCCTCTAGTATTGGTTTTGGACAAAATACCAGTGGCGACACCTTGAGACTCATCAAAGTTGGCAGTTGAAGTGGAAGCAACGTAGCATTGTTTGTATGGTAAATCCTGAGCATTGATGTCGATTGGGTATCCAAAGTTTTTCAACATATAAGCCCAAACTTGCTTAAGGATGATTTCCTGGTCTCCGTTAAGAGTTTGGATTCTCTGTAATCTGTATTTGACGTTGTTATCAAAAGGCATAACTGGATGGAGTTGTAGTGGTTTTCTTTTTTTTTATTGTTTTGTAGTGATGTGTAGTGTAGTGTAGTGTAGTTTAGTTCTAATTTCTAGTTCTAAATTGTCTAATGTGGAGGGGGTGAGGGGGTGGGAACAGCTGATTGTTTGAAAGTCTAATGAATTGCGTGTATCAGTCTCTGTTGTTGAAGTAAAAGAAGAAGAGTGGTGTCTGATAGGAATTTATGAAATCTCGGATCTTTGAATCTTAAATTTCAAATTCTAAATCTCAACAGTGATTTCTCGTAAACTTGCAATGGTGTGTTGTGTTGTGCGGGTGAAAAATTGGTTAAGAAATGTTGGGTTTTTGTGACACGTCACGTGGAACTCCTTTCTTTTACTTTTCTCGTACAAATGTTTTATTTGGCTTGTGATAAAAAAGAAGAATAACACTTTGGTTGTTGTCCTTTGATTCAGAAGCAGCAGTGAACAGTGAACGGTAGTAGGAAACGTGGTAGTTTTAGCCAGCGTCTGTGGTCAGTGATGGTATGTCTGTCTCTTATCTGTTTGAAAGAAATGTTCCTTTCAAAAAAATATTGTCTCACTTTATTTTTGCAACCCACAAGGATGAAAGATGGCTGAGCAGTAAGCTAGTAGATACCACTCCAAAGTAATGTGTGCGTGTGGGTGGGTGTGGAGGTAGAAGTTGATGTATTTGATACGGTAGCTTGTTAGCCTTTGCAGTAAGAAGAAGAAGAAGAAGAAGAAGAAGAAGAGGTCGGGGAAGTGGAATACCCTGTGGTTATATACTGTGAAAGTCACATTTAGTTTCAAGTGTGGAGAAGAGTGAGTGTGTGAGTGTGTGAGTGTGATAAAAACAAAAAAAATATGAATTTCAGTGTGTACTGCATACAATTAACCTGTTCAATCTTAGTTCCTAATTGGGTAATTTCATCTAACACTTGCACGCTACCACATTACTACTACTAGTACTACTACGTATTCTATCTATCTATCTAGTCCTTACTCCTCCCAACTACTTCATCCTCTTCCATCAATTGCCCCAGAAGATATTGTATTGAAATCTCTAAATCTGTATATATATATATATATCTATATACCGCTCCTTAACCAAATAACCTTGCTGATAGAAATAGTTTAAAATTAAACTAGCGGTAACGTTCTTTTCTGTTGGGCGTCGCTCTTTCGCCTCTTACTTTGCACATCCGATGAAAGGGCTCTATTTCTTTCTCTGTTTCTGTTTCTGTTTCTGTTTCTGTCTCTTCTTCTCCTCCTCTTCCCCCTGCTCCAATTAAGGTGTGTGTGTGTGTGTGACTGTCAACCCTTGCCAATAAATTAAATTAGATTAAATTTAAAAAAAAAACGTTTTTCTTGTTTCAATTTTTATGAGGAGAGAGGGATAGAGAGAGAACTCTGTTGATTGCTGCAAACCATAGTCATCTTTGCATTTGAAAAGACCAACTGAAAGATATGTATATGTCACCCTTCGTGCATAAGTCACTACAGTTGCCAATCCCTCAATTCCAGTAGAAATCTGCATCTAACACCCTGCATACAATATGTAGCCATACAATCAAGGACAATGTCTATGACTAGACAACACCGTCTCCACATTGTTCCAGTCTTCGCTGCACTGCAAAACAGAGAGAGAGGGTCCACATTGATTTCTACCTCACACCATAAAGAAAACTATCTCCAATGTCAATTTCACATTCTTTCACTTTTTTCAAACTTGTTCACTACTATTATTGTTGGAGTGGGGTAGAGTTCTTATTTATTTATTTATTTATTTGTGTGTGATTTCTTTTCTTTTTTTTTAATTGTTTTGCTGGGTAAAGTCCGCCTTATTTCCGGTGCACAAAAGACTTTGTTTTCGTGTCACCCCCCTCGCCCACTCCCCCACTTTCCAACAATAAATACCTTCTTAATACATGGGGAACATCACTTTCATTTGAAAATATGAATCGCACACGAGTTGAGAGCCACCTGCCCAATCTTATCTCTCAAACTTTTCCAATCTAATGTGCAAAAGCGACAAAATGCCTATACTCTACAATACGACCTGTATCTTTATTCCTTTCTAGTTTACAAATTGTTTTCCTTTTTCTTTACTCTTACCAATCTCTATAATACAAAATGACTATAACCTCCATAAACCGCTACCCAATCTAGATCACACCATCATACACTCAATAATTCATCCTCCATCTTTTTATTTCTCTTTCACCTTCTTCTAGACCTAGGAAGTAGTCTTGGACGTCTAGGATTAGCTTGCGGTTGACTAACTGTACCTGGACCAGGAGATGTTCCTGGTTGTCCACCAAACCCAAACACAGGTGCTTGCCCAGGAGGAGGACTACCGCCAAACACAAACGGCTGTTGTTGCGGCTGTTGTTGCGGCTGTTGTTGCGGCTGTTGCGGCTGCTGTCCAAATCCAAACGAAGGTGTAGCAGCAGAAGCACCACCACCACCAAACGGCGTACCCTCTCTACTCTGCTGCTGCTGAGGCTGCGTGTGTTGTCCAAATACACTTGCAGGGTCTGGAGTTCCACTTCTTGACCCCGTGAAATTAAACAGCGGCACCTTATTCAACTTGGTTGCAGATCCAAATATCAGCGATGGGGGTTGCGAGTTGCCACCACTAGCACCATTGTTTGGCACATTTCCAGAAGCATTAAAGTTAAACGTTGGCGTGCTAGATCGATTGCCAAATACACCACCCGCGCCCGCATTCGTAGTGGATGGAGCTACTAGTGGCTGCGGCTGCGGCTGCGGCTGCGCTCCAAATCCTCCCGAAAATCCACCTCCAAACCCGCCAAACCCACCTGAACTGAATGGTTTAGGTGCAGCAATATCAGAACCACCCCCAGCTGAAGGCTTAGCACCAAACAAATCCGTGTTTGGTGCAGCACCTCCACCGCCAAATGTAGGTGGGGGAGTAACACCGGGTGCAAACTTGAACCCGCTGCTTGTCGCAGTCCCCGGTTTGTCAGTCGTGGAGCTAACTGCAGTTGCACTGGTTCCCAAAGTACCAAACGAAAAAGCCGAATTGGACCCGCCTGACGCTGATGCTGATGCGGGTGCTGTCGTTGGTGTCGGAGTAGGTGTGCCAGTCTTGGCTACATCATCAGTCGGCTTATCTTTAGACTCGTTGTTACTTTGTCCAAATGTAAACGCAGGCGATGGCGATTTACCCTTGTCTTCATTCACAGTGTTTGCTTTGGAAGAGTCCATTGCCGTCTTGCCAAATGAAGCAAACAAGGGGGCTGCCGATTGCGACTTGTCTTGAGGCTTACCAAATGAAAATGCTGGTGTCGTGGTAGTACTGCTTGCATGCTCTCCATCATCATTGGTCTTTTTACCAAATGAAAATGCCGGTGAAGCGCTCTTGGCTTTGTCGTCACTTTTTCCAAAATTAAACCCAGAAGTTGTAGACTTCACATTATTGTCAGTGGTGGTAGCTGTAGTAGTAGAAGTGGCTGCCTTACCAAAACTAAAGACTGGAGTAGCCGATTGGGACTTGGTTTCGTCTTCCTTGGTGGGACCACCTGCAGGTTTACCAAAGTTGAATACCGGGGCACCTGGCGTGGCGGGTTTGTCTTTACCTTCTCGACCAGTGGTGTCACTTTTGCCAAACTCTAACCCAGGCGTTGTTGACTTCAGTTTTTCCTTATCGTCAGCAGTAGAGGTTGACGAAGGATTGAATCCAAATGAAAAAGCAGGTGGCTTAGCTGTTGGAACTAATGCGGCAGGTGCCTTCTGTGAGTCCTCTTTATTTGCACCACCACTGCTGAAACTGAAAATTGGAGTCGACGACTTGGATACATCCAGTTCGGCCCCAACTACTGCTTGTGCCTCACTTGGTTTGGAATCATTGCTTGAAGTAGCTGCTCTTTTCCGCTTCGTATCACCCCCTTCCACCTCAGCCTCATCTGCATTAACCTTGTCCGATTGCAGGTTGGGTTGAGCAATGGCCGAAAATGCACTTGCTGTTGGAACAGTAGCAGTAGGAGTAGCAGAACCATTAACAATTGCTCCAGCGCCACTAGCATTATCCTTGTTGTTACTTTGTTGGCCAAAAAGACCGCCACCACTCGATTTCGAACCAAATCCATTGAACAAAGTACTCAGCGGAGCATTGTTTGTTGGAGCAAGATTAAATAAAACAGATGGAGTACTGTCTTTAGTAGACCCATTTGCCTCCGTTTTCTTCGTATCGTCATTGGTACTTGTGGTTGTCGTAGTTTTTGTAGTGCTGAACGTGAAAGGAGATGGACTTTTCTCATCACCGGATTTGTTTTGCTCTTGCTTGCCAAATAAACCGGTGCTGCCTTTGCCAAATATACTCGATGTTGCACTTTTCTCTTGTGATGGTACTGCCCCACCCTCTTTCTTTTGACCAAAGTTGAAACCACTGGGCTTTGTTGACTTTTCCGTGTTCTGTCCGAAATTAAACCCGCTGGACTTGGGTGTTTCCTCTTTCAGCTGGTCTCCAATGCTAGCACTACTTGTCTTGAAAGGGAATAATCCAGTTGGCGCATTTGCGTTAGACTTTGGCTCAAATTCTAAACCAACATGTTTAGGCTCTTCTGCTTTCTTTGTGGTGCCTTCTTCAGCACCTGCTCCCTCCTTTTGTGCCCCCGCGATTTCCCGCAACTTCTTATCATCAATGTTGAATTGGAATCCGCTTGATGGTGCAGTGGTTGTGATCTTTGACCCTGGAGGTATATTCAAGGAATTTTCCTTCAATTTGATAATATCCGACATAGATTGGGTCTTGGCTAGGTAATCGGAGTCCAATGACAAGGACAACTTCTGACCCAAAGCAACACCACCTCGATTCACGCTCGAGTCCAGTTTCTTGTTACTTTCATCTTGGTTTCTAAACTTAGGCTTGCCAATCTCACTCGCAAAGCCCTTGAGATTAGTGCTGGTAACAACATCAACTGGCTTTTTCACGTCATACACCAACTCCTTCAAGAAAAACCCCTTCTTTCTTTTCTTATTCCGGTTATGTTCCAAAGTCGAAGAGCTCGATCTTTTTTTGAAACTTAGTGCCGAGTTCAAATAATCACTATTGTATGTTTGTGTGCTTGTGTCCACCATGGTTGAGTCGCCATGAGATATCGTAGTTGTTTCATTGGGACTTTTCATATACCTCATCTTCTTCCTCATTAATTCCATCTCTTGAATCGATCTTTTTAGTCGTACTATTCTGCTTCTCTCTGCTGGATCAATTTGAGCAATCTCCAACTGTTCAAAGTCCTCTCCATCTTGCGGTTGCTCTTCAATCACCTCATCCTCCTCTACTGCCTGATTTCTTATAATTGACTGATTCGGGAAAGGAATACTCAAAGCCGGTGATTCATCTCGACTTATTAATACACTACTCTCCTTCAATGGTTCAACCAACGAATCTATAACGGATTTCCTTCGTTCAAGGTCGTTGTGTGATTCTTCCTCGTTGGTCCGCATCTCGTTATATAAATTCAGATATGATGTGTGTCTCGGTTGTACCATGCCTCTAGTCAAGGAGCGAGGAATGGATTCATTTGTGGGATGGCCCTGTATCGAAAGCCGTTTCCTCTTTTCAGAAACAGCGAAATTTGTGGGTAATGGTTCGGCTATATCTATTTCATTCGACTGTTCCTGTGCAGTCTGTCCACCGTTTTGGTTAGGTTGCACTATTGGTGCTGCTGGTTCTGTTGGTGCAAAATGTGTTGGTTCCGTCAGGCGTACAATTGCTTGCTTTAGCTTTGAAAAGTATCCTCCAAACCTACTGCTCCGTGGCCTCAGACTATCTCCACCATTGTCTGAGGACGTGTGTTCTGAATCAATAGACATTGCAAAGACAACGGTTCTGTGGATGATGAGGTAGAAAAAAGCCGTAATTCAGTCGTCGTCGTCGTCGTCTTCTTCTTCTTCTACTTCTGCTTGCTTTATTTGAAAGATGAGATTTTTCCAAACAGTGGTAATTTTTTTTTTTTCCTCCTCTCACTTCAATTTGTTAACACTGTACTGAAGGATCGTTCATGAGACCATGTTGAAACCGTTGCAACGAATACGACCTTGTCGAAAAAGTCATACTGCGTTCACTTCCCACTGTAGAAGAAGAACACTCGCGTCTAACAACAGCTTTGTTGAATTGGACAAGAAATGGAGAAACAGATGGAGCCAACTACAAAAACCACCAGGCCACTCACCGTCTAAAGCTAAGGATTTCTTTGCCTTGGTGATGTTTCCATATCCATCAGGAGTGCTACATTTGGGCCATTTACGTGTATACACAATCAGTGATGTTGTCGCCAGATACAAAAAATTGAATGGGTACAATGTCATACATCCAATGGGCTGGGATGCGTTCGGTTTGCCAGCGGAAAATGCGGCAATAGAACGGGACATCGACCCCGCCATTTGGACAGAGACAAACATTTCCAAAATGAAGCAACAAATGATCAACTTCCTGGCTGATTTCGATTGGGATAGGGAAATCAATACAAGTTCGCCTGATTACTATAAATGGACGCAAAAAATCTTTCTCATGTTGTATGATAATGGTCTTGCTTACCGTAAAAAGGCAGAGATTAATTGGGACCCAGTTGACCAAACGGTGCTAGCTAATGAACAAGTCGATGCCAAAGGGCGCTCGTGGAGAAGCGGCGCACTTGTTGAAAAGAGAAATTTGGAACAATGGTTTATTGGGATTACAAAGTATGCAGATCGGTTGGTGGATGATTTGGAATATCTTCTGCAGTGGCCTGAGCATGTCAAGACGATGCAAAAGAACTGGATAGGAAGGTCTAAAGGGTGCGTTGTTGAATTTCCTATTGAAAAGGGTGGTGAAAGGATATCGGTGTTCACATCGCGACCAGAGACGTTGTTTGCGGTTCAGTTTCTAGCACTCAGTTTGGACCATCCATTGGTCAAGGAGGCGTCCAAAAATGACCCGATGTTGGTGAAGTTTATTGATGAATCAAGGAATGCCGGATTCAACTCAAAAGCTGGTTACAAGCTCCCCATCAAAGCATCTATTCCACTCAACTCCGACAACACGGTAAGGACAGTTTTTGATGTCCCTATCTATGTTGCTCCGTATGTGCTTAGCGAGTATGGGTCAGGTGCCGTTATGGGATGTCCGGGGCATGATGCAAGGGATTTTGAGTTTTGGAAGTTGCACGAGCCTAATCAATCAACTGTACAGGTTATCGGACCAAAGGATCAAAAAAAGATGAGTATTCCATATACCACAAAAAGCGGTGTTATGCAAGACAACAGCACTCTTGAAGGAGGGTTGGACGATCTCCAACTTTATAAAGGCTTGTCCGGAAAGGATGCTGCAAATAGAATCACCCACCAGTTGACTAAACATGGACTTGGAAGTGTTAGTACGCAATACAGACTAAAAGACTGGTTGATTAGCCGTCAAAGATATTGGGGCGCACCAATACCAATTATACATTGCTCCGATTGTGGTCCTGTGCCGGTGCCTGATGAACAACTTCCGGTACTTTTGCCAAAAGTGAATAGCAAGCACTTCACAAAGGGGAACCCATTGGGTAATATAAATGAGTTTGTGAATTGCAAGTGTCCGTCATGTGGGAACAACGCCAGGAGAGAAACTGATACAATGGACACATTTATGGACTCATCGTGGTACTATTTACGCTATTTGGATTCAAAGAATGAGACTAAAATTATTGGCTCAGAAGCAAGTCACAATATGCCTGTTGACCTCTATGTCGGTGGAGTTGAGCATGCCATCTTGCATTTGTTGTACGCGCGGTTCATTGCTAAATTCCTAAGTGACTGTGGCGTTTGGGATGGTAAAAGTTGTCATGATGAACCATTAACCAAATTGGTTACACAAGGAATGGTTCATGGTGTCACATACGCTGATCCCGACACAAATAAATTTCTCAAGCCAGAAGAAGTTGATTTTTCAAATCCACAAGCACCGGTTGTTAGAGCATCTGGGAAGACGCCTAACATTTCCTACGAGAAGATGTCTAAATCAAAGTACAATGGAGCTGATCCTGGAGAATGTATCGCCAAGTATGGTGCTGACGCAACAAGAGCCCAGATGTTGTTTCTGGCACCTGTGTCTGATACGTTGTTGTGGAATGAGGATCAGATTGCTGGTGTTGATCGATGGCTCAAACGAGTTCTCGGGTTGAGGGAAATGGTTGCGGAGTCGAAGAGAAAAGGTACTGGGCAAGAAGTTGCAAAAGTGACATTGAGAAATGCAATAGCTGGTAGAATGGTTGTCGGGTTGAATGCGTGTGAGTTTGAATTCTACAATCAAGTTCAAGACCTAGTCAAGCGTATTGCTGACTCGGTGGATGTACATTTTGCCTTAAACACGGTTGTTTCTGATTTGATGAAAATGACAAACTGCATAGCTGACGCAATTAAATCCAAGCAATGTGCATCGGAATTAATTCTTGACTCGTATATCAAATTGCTAATTTGCATGGCACCAGTGACACCAGCAACATCGGAGGAGTGTTGGGAATCAGTGCAATTGTCCAATGGATTAACACCCAGCTCAATTTTTACTCAGTCGTATCCTGCAGACAAATCAATCAAGTCCAGTGTTCAGAGATACAATATTTTCATCAACGGTAAAGCTAGAGGAACCATTATGGCAGATCAAGAGTTGATAAAGGAAGAGGATGGTAAAATCTTTGAGGTGCTTGGAACTAAGGAGGGAATTTCAAATCATTTACCTGATCAAGTCAAAAAGGTAATCAAAAAGCCAGGATTAATAAGTGTGATTGGATAGATGGGATGCAAAATTGTGCTCTAACTTGTATATAGTAATCGGTTGCACTGTCCCTGTACATAAGACAATGACATCCTGAATAGGGTGAAATGAATCGACATTCATTTTGCAATGCTTGTAGATTGGTTTTAATATGGTAACAGCCCCACTTCCACTACCCCTCTTTCGTACTGTGCAATGTCATGCTACTAAACATTCAGGATACAGATTTGACTGTGATAAGGAGAAGCATTTCAATTGGATTATGGATTTTGTACGCGGCGCATTTCAAAACTTGTATTCCATTTGTGGCAAATGTAACAAAATCAGACCCCTTCACCACACTTTACCACTTCTTTGATATGAAACTCACACAAACTTACACAGAAGACATTAATAGGGGGCATACCAAAAGCCGATATCACATTCTTTTCCCCCGCAAACAGTCTAAAATTGGAAAGCCTATTTAATCCACGCAGAAGAGAGTGCCGCTTTTTTTTCACCATTTTGAGGTGTTTCTGCTTCTTCATTATCATCATGTCAGTTTCACCATCACTCACCAATTACACCATTAAGGAAATATGTACCGTAGTCCGTGACACACAAGCTGGTCAAAAACCCACTTTCATGGTTGGGGAGTGTTCTGGAGTGGGGATACATCCCATTGCGGCACCTAGAAGGAAGTGACAATCCAGCTATTTCACGCATAATTGCTTGAGTGGGAGTCCCGAGCAGGTTAGGGTTTTCTTTTCACGCGACTTTGAGGAGAGATTGGGAGAAGGGTCTGAGGTTTGGCAGGGGCTGAGTACTCGTTTTGAATCGAGTCAGATGGCATTTCAGCTTTATGCAGAAAGCCAGTGAGTTTACCTTGTGAGTGCAGCAAAGTCCTAGGTGATGATTGTGTTAATTGAGGCTGGTGCTTTTGGCTACAAGTGGTTGAAGTGGAGACAAGTAGAGAAAAAGTGGAAAGATTATGGATTGAGCAAGGCTGATTTGTGATTGTGATATATATAAGGGTCCCCCCTCCAACCTCGTCTAAATGTCCACAAAGTGGATTATTATATGACTGCAGTTCATCAGTACTAAAACATTTTACAGGAATGTTCTCAGATTGGAGATTGTGGATCATTGTCCTTCTATATGACTTCAACCGTAACTTGATAATTGACATACTAGCAAGTGAGTTTGATATGCAAGCACCAGACTAATACACGCTCAACCTGTAAAAAGGAGTTAAATATCGCTAAACAGTTAGAATTGTAGATTGATCTCTGTATTGATATTCTCTTTATTGCTTACTCTCATATTTATCCTACTTTCCGAGCTGAACATCACTTTTTTAGTGACATGCTCAGTCTACTTCTCTACACTGGATATCCACTCAATATGTAGTAATTGCGCTACTGCCAGACACTGTTTGGTAACTCCATTGTATGTCGTCGTTTTTATTTCCTAGATTGTGTGAGTCTTTATCCAATTTCAAATCTGTGGCATACTTACCCTTGTATCTGACAACCAAGTGGCTACAAATGGCTCACCCATAACAGTTTGTGGTTAGTTGATAGAAAATGTATTAACTTGGAGATAACTTTTGATGTTAGAGAGCTTGATTGGGCCAGTTTGAGCAGATGAGATGAACAATGATACCCTATTCTAACCGTTTCTTTCAACTGTCTCCACCAATGTGTGCATTTGTATCTTCAACTTCATTGAGCATCCCATATTTTGCAGTTTGACAACTCCTCTGGCTGTTTTGGGGGCACATTTCTCCAGGTTCCGGGCCATTCCGCCTCCGCATAGGTTGCTCAAAGCCTTTTTGATTCCTTCTCATCCTCTATTCAAGATCAAGCCTATGCACTCACATGTACCCTACTTTATTCAGCTGATAGTTAATGACCAAGCAAATGAATGTGAATCTTAACTTCAATTTTAAGCAGATTGGTTTATCGTCGAGCCTCAGCAAGCAAAACAGCAAAACACTTTCAACCTGAGAAATGCATGAACCTATTCAAGTCAGGATTCTCTTTTACCTTCCAGTGGGTTGTGAGTAGGACTGGATCTTTTCTAAATGTACCAGAGCAGCTTTAAACTATCCTAAAATCTAATAGCCAGCTATCTTGAAGCTAACCGTCCATCACTCCAATTGCCTGGCTTAGCCAGGTGGTGATGGTCTGCAAGAAGTCAAAGTGAAATGTGCCTTGCATATGGCTTGTGCATCCTGATTAATTAATTCAGACGGTGGTGCAAAAGGAGTGGCCGCTGCAATGCAATTCTCCAGGTATATAGTGCTATTGAACCATTACTGCATCAGTAAGTGTGTATAAAGTATATGTCTGCAATGATGGTGCCAGTGTAGTGTGATGAAGCGGTGTCTTGAAGAACATTCAATGCGAGAGGAATTTCTTTGCAACCAAATCACCACGTTTCTTGAAGATACGAACCACATGCAACGACTATCCCACAAGTGCAAACAAAGAAACTGGTGCTTTTTGAATCGTAAGCTTCTGTACGATGAGCACTTTCAACTATTCTAGGCGGAGATAAGGATGAATGTTTTCATAGTAGGTTGATCTACGCGAGCAGGCTCCGTCTCACAGCAAGACACATCATCTCAATGATGCAGCCAGGTGTCCTAGCGTAATTGCAAGGCTCCTCTGTTATCAATGTCTTGATTCGTTGATGAAGTTGATCACACTCAGCTGTTGAAGTGATACGCAATCGCATACTATGGAAGATGAAGTTCGTAGTACCGTTTGTTCCAAATTGGGGAGATCTGACAACAATGTGCCCGTTCATTTGCTACTTCTCCTGTTAGAACACTGGTACTACACTAAGGTCTGCTACAAGGAAATTCAGTCAAAAGCACGATGATACACATCGCAAGTTATAAATTAGAAATAAAACTATCAAACCGAAATAAGGGGTATCAATATTAGGAGATTAGAAGAGGTAATGTGGAAGAAAAAAAAAAGCGTTTGCATGCTTCCTCAGACAGCAACATCACTGAATACACCAAATCCGAGGAATTTGGTAAACACAGCAACAACGTCGAAACTCGAGCTCCATTCCCAAATACCAATTGAATGAGCGGTTTCAATATCAATTCCCAAGATGACCAACAAACCGGCAAAGTTGTCGTGGTTTGGAAGGTGGTGATGTTGGATAATGATGTATTCAATTGCCTTGAAAATGGCTTCAATCTTGACAGTGACATCGTGAAGGGTGACGGTGATGACCTTTTCAGCAATGTCAACGACTTCGTGTCCAATGTCAATGAGCTTGGTCAAGATGGCAGCAAAGTCAATGGAAACAGTGTCATAAGTGATGTTTATTTGAGCGGCTACTTCAACATCAATGCCCAAAATTGCCAAGACATGGTTGAAGTGGTCTGGGTTGGGAAGAGGATGGTTAAAGACAATAACGTACTCAATGGCCTTGATGATTGCATCAATGGAAATTTGATGTTGTTCAATGGTGACAAATCCACCTCTTTTGGAGACATCAACAGCACCAACAATTTCATCCTCGACTGCATCTCTCTTTGCAACTTGGTGCAAGAAGGAAAGAACATCAGCATTACCTTTGGAAGCATCCAACAAGCTTCTACCAAGTTCAGCAATCAACTCATCGCTTTCGTGTCCATTAGCAAGATCCTTTTGAGCTTTCTCATTCAAATTGAGATTAAGTGAGTTGATCAAGTTGTTGACATCAGAGTTCAAATGTTTGAGGTCGCTTTGAATAGTTTGAAGTTCTTCAGAAGCTGCAACGACTGGAGCAGCTTGAACGAGTGTGGTTGCCAATCCGGCAAAAGCAGCAGCGATGGTGGTGAACTTCATTGTTGGGTGAGGTTGGTTTTGGTGGTTGCAAAAGAAAACAAGAATAGATTGTTGGAACTTGAATGGGAATTTGCATGCCCTTTTATACTATATTTTTCCAATGTGAATAAAACTGTGGATGCATGGTTACACTATATGGGATTTGATAGTTCACCAGCGTAAACATTTCCGATCTACTTGGTATGTTTGTTTTAATTCTTGTTTTGGAAAGTGTTTATGCAAATCGCGGTCACGAAACATCAAAAGTGAACCCGCCTCAGAAAGCTGGGAAAGCAAGTGTGGCAAAGAGTTGCAATTGGCTAGAACTGCTCGAGAACAATAGTTATTTGCTGATGAACAATAGGCTGGATGCGACGATGTTTTGTTGTTGCAAAATATAAGTACGCGTTGCTACTAAACAATAACCCCCAAAATTTCAAGAAGAAACTGAATAGTAAACATTAATAATGTGATGATCCCTGCATGAATCCGAAAAGAATGGAACCCTTGCTTTCCACAAGAACTTGAAACAATGGGACACGAAAGAATTTTGGTGTGTTCCACTGGCGAGAACAATGGGCAGTTTCGTTTGTTGGCAAACAAGAATGCAAGTGAACAAGGGAAGGGAAAAAATTGAACCCTTGTATTCTAGCATTGTGTTGTTGGGAAAATCTTAGGACAATAGGTACACTTTTTTTTCCGCTTATTTATTAGCCGAACTTTTGCCAGAACTGGTCAAGCTGTTTTGTGTCACTAGTCTCAGACTGGTAGCTCAAAGAGTCGCCACGCACCATAATCTGTCACAATTAGTTCGGTAGGGGGGGACCGGAGTTAATGCAACTGGTTGTTTGTGATTGCATCCGCTCTGAATTTCATCATCTGCAAAGTAAACAGAGTAACTCGAACATGGACGCACGCCACAGAACACCATGTGTTTAGACTGAAGCTTTTACTGCTCATTTATATCTACAAGGAGGGGGGGAGCTATTACGCATGGCTGATTCTATACGGCTGCTCTCTTGAGCATATTGTTTCGTGGAGTTGCAAGAACGCGCCATTCTTGCGAGCAATTTTTTTATTCGTATTCAATAGTGGCTTTCAATGTGGTAGCAAACGACACATGCGAGAACCCATTGTTCGTTTTACATGAGAATTCAAATTTGGCTTCAAGCGCGTACACACATGTGTGTGGTTTGAGATCTGCAGTAAACATATACCTGATCTGGATGTTTTGAAAATACTACTTTTCGTGTTGAAGAGGATGCGCAGGATCAGAATACAACATCTGACACCAGAGCCATATATTGAGCTAGGCTGAAGATTGGAACAGGCTTAGATTTGATGTCTAAAGTGTGGCTTTTCTGGCCGATATATTTACAATTTGATTGTGCATATCAGGCGAACCTAATTTCAGGGTCCTCGCGCAAGACCCAAATTTAGCCGAAAGACGAAAAAGGAAAAAAAAAAAAAAAAAAAAAAAAAAAAAAAAAAAAAAAAAACATAACCCCACAAAAC